GCTTAATGACTATCAGCCAAAAGTGTTCTGTGTTCAAGAAACTCATTTAAAGTCGACTCATGTGAATTTCTGAAATCAATATGTGGTTTTTCGTAAAGATCGAAATGGTGGCAATTTCTCTTCTGGAGGTGTGGCCATCATTGCACAAAGAAGCGTAGCATGCCAGCACATTGTGCTACAAAGCTCTCTCGAGGTTGTGGCTGTTCGCACTATTCTATTCAACCGTCTTATATCTATCTGCTCGATCTACATAGCCACTGATGAACCATTCAATAAAACAGAGTTCGAAAAGCTTATTGATCAGCTTCCAGAACCATATGTGTTAATTGGAGATTTTAATGCTCACAGTTTGCTATGGGGTGATACCAAATGTGATGCGAGAGGTCGTGCAATAGAAAACTTTCTTCTCGCATCTGGAGCCTGTCTGCTCAATAAGGCAGAGCCAACATACTTCAGTACCACACACAATACATATTCATGCATAGATTTAGCCATTGGGTCACCGTCTCTCCTACCTTACTTAGATTGGAAAGTTATTAATAATCCATATGGAAGTGACCATTTTCCAACTCTTTTAGTAACAAAACAACGGGATGACCGGCCGTCTTATCCCAAAAAGTGGAACTTTCATGTAGCAAACTGGGTGAAATTCAGAGAGTTATGTACACTACACCTCGAAGAGGTAGACCATTTGGAAGTAGAAGAGATGGCCAACTATATTTCTGAATATGTTTTTACTTGTGCAAAAAAGTGCATACCGCAGTCCAGGAATGATAAGGTTAACACAAAGCCATAGTGGAATCGGGAGTGTGAAATTGCTAAAAAACGGCAAAACAAAGCATGGAGGGTTTTTTCTCGCTACCCAACAGCAGAAAACTTGATAACCTTTAAAAGTTGCAAAGCGAATGGCAGGCGTGTTCGCCGTATAGCCAAACGGGAAAGCTGGACACGCTCTATATCCTCAATAAACTCCTACACAGACGTCAGCAAGGTTTATAATAGGGTGCATAAACTTAAAGGACAAGGCCCAAATCCCTTCCCTTTGGTGAATGACTGTGGTGATACAATAGAAGAGCAGGCAAACGCTCTTGGCGAACAAGAAAAGAACGAGAAAATGTCAAGCTCAGAAAACTATACCACTAAGTTCTTACACCACAAAAGCATAGCTGAAAGTGTACCTCTGTGCCGGAACAAGGCTGTATCAGACGGATACAATAAAGCACTAACACTATATGAACTGAAGCTCGCCCTTGGTTCCTTTGGAAGTTCTGCTCCTGGTTCTGATACAATTACTTATGAAATGATCAGAAATCTCCCTGATGAAACCCTGAACTGCCTTTTAGCACTTTACAACAAGATTTTCAATACCGGTAAAATACCCTCTGTTTGGAAAAAGGCAATAGTACTACCAATCCTTAAACAGGGCAAAGATCCCTCTTCGGTAAATAGTTACAGGCCTATCGCCCTCACAAGCTGCCTACTCAAAGTGTTTGAAAAAATGATTAACTGCCGCTTGGTCTACTACTTGGAATACGACGGCATATTGGACCCGTTGCTGTCTGGTTTCCGTACAGCTAGATCCACAACCGACAATCTTGTCCTCCTCGAGTCGTATATACGGGACGCGTTTGTACACAATCAATACTGTCTGTCTGTTTTCTTCGATCTTGAGAAGGCATATGATACTGCCTGGCGATATGGAATCTTGCAAGATCTACTGTCTTTCGGAATATGTGGCAGGTTGATTACCATCTTAAAAGATTACCTGTCTGAAAGGAAGTTCCGTGTAAGAATAGGTACTGTGTTATCGCGCACATTTTTTCAAGAAAATGGAGTGCCGCAGGGAGGAGTATTAAGCTGCACACTATTTATAGTTAAAATGAACTCTCTTCGCTCTGTTGTTCCACCTGCGATATCGTACTCTGTAAACGTGGACGACATTCAAATTAGTTTCAAATCGTGTAACTTTACTGTATGCGAACGCCAGATACAGTTAGGTGTTAACCTACTTGCAAAATGGGCTGACGAGAATGGTTTTAAGTTTAACACTGACAAGACTACTAGTGTGCTGTTCTCGAGACGACGAGGTGTGCATCCTGACCCCTGCATACTAATGAATGGACAAAACATAGTCATCGCGAAAGAACAAAAATTCCTCGGTGTAATTTTGGACTCCAAACTCACCTTCATCTAGCACATAAAACAGCTGAAGTTAAAATGTCTCAAGACCATGAACCTTTTAAAGATTTTATCGCATCAGTCGTGGGGGACAGACAGGCACTGTCTCATATCTCTGTTTCGAAGCCTGGTTCTGTCACGCATAGACTATGGATGCATAGTATATCAGTCAGCTTCAAGGACAGCACTGAAAATGTTGGACCCTATATACCACCTAGGTATCCGGCTGGCACTTGGTGCCTTCCGTACCAGCCCTATTCACAGCCTTTATGCAGAGTCAGATCAGTGGCCACTAGACTATCAGCGCACGTATCTAGGAGTCAACTATGCAGTTAAAATCATGTCTCTGAAGCAGCACCCATGCAAAACACTTATGAACGATGTGTCTACTACCCAGTTATACCTAAACCGTCCTTCTATCACCCCACCGTTTCCATTGGCAATAAGACCTGCAGTAGAAAAACTTGCAATTTTTTTCAATGACTTGGAGGAAAGTGACCATGTCGAACACATCCCTCCCTGGCAGCAATGTGCAGTCACTTGTGACTGGTCTTTCAAAGACATCATAAAGAAAAATTGTCCAAGTGCACTTATTGAGCAACATTTCTTGGCCCTTGAACATATATATCGTTCAACCGCATTCTTCTCTGATGACCCAAAGTCTCAAACATCTGTATCTTGTGCAGCCTATGGACAAAAGTTCTTGGACACCAGAACCATGCATACACATGCCAGCATTTTCACAGCGGAAGCCTATGGTATCCTGCTTATTATACAACACATTAAACAACACAAGATACAAAAGTCTATAGCGTACACAGATTCTTTAAGTGTTGTCAGGGCCCTGTCTTGTGGCAAGTACAGCAAGAACCCTACTTTCAACAAGCTCCTTAACGAAATCTATGCAGCCTACAACCTAAAACTTTCTATTGTTATTTGCTGGGTTCCAGGTCATTCTGGAATTGCGGGCAATGAAATAGTGGACAAGAATGCACGAGAAGCCGCTGGTCGGCAAACCATAGATATAACCTCTGTTCCGGGTGTAGATCTAAAACCTGTTGTACGTAGAGGTCTACGCAACCACTGGCAAGCTGAATGGGACAGAGAAGTCGACAACAAACTCCACCTTGTAAAACCCCAGCTGAGAAAAGTTATCTCACAAAAACTCAACAGGTTCGCCGAAGTCACTCTAACACGGCTCAGAATAGGCCACACTTATGCTACACATAAACACCTTTTGACAGGTACTGATCCGCCTACATGTATACACTGTGGAGAGAGTCTAACCGTTGTACATGTCCTCATACAATGTCCTGTGCTTCACAAGCACGACTGACCCATTTCACGGAGCTCTATCGATATCATATCCCACTTCATCCAGCGCTGTTTTTATCACTTGATGCAGTGGTTGACCTTAAGAGACTTCTTCATTACCTTGGGAAAGTGAAATTTTTAACAATGATATCATTCCATCCTAGGCACCAGACTGCGCCTCAAGTGTGAGGTACCACCTGGTGCATAAAAAGTATGTCTGAGCCTTCGCAGTTCTTGCTCAGGCAAGGACTTCAGCTGCAAGGGTCTTGGGCCTTGCAGACTAATTTATCAGCACAGACTTCAGCCAACGAAATGAATTTTTTTTAACAAAGTGACATTCTTTCTAAATGCACTGTGTTTTAAATGGTTTGTAGATATTTGTTTTAATTTTTAATCATGTTTTAATCATTTGTTTTAATTTTTAAACTAATAACCGAAATGAAACAACACTTGTACTGGCGCTCTTTGACCTTAGATGCCCTTGCACCAATAAAACTTAACGCTATTGTGTTATGGATATGTACTGGACATTTTGTTAATACACAAAGTGATGAAATGTGGTGCAGGAGGCACTCCGCAAGGGTTATTACGGTAGTCATGCTAGAAGAGTGTATGTACGATGTTACGTGCACAGAGGTTTTCTTTCCTCACGGCCTGATTGAAAAGCGTCAAGTGGCAAGTGGATTAAAATAAGATGCAAATTGGGCTCTACATCGCTATCGCATTCCACTCTTTAAAGAAGGTACTGACGCAAAAACCTTGGCCTTGCGTTTTTCTGCTGCAATGCATTGCTGGGGGTCTGTTAGTCATGACATGATACATCGTTTGCTGTAGCATGTGACAGATGATAAATTACAGGCCCCTTATTATCAATCAGTTTCGGTTTGAGAAAGTTCCAAAAACTGGGTGCAACTGTCACCACTTAGCGTGTGCAGCTCTTGACTACGCCAGCACACAGAACTGTGACGCACTTCCGCAAGGTCTGCATAAAGAATTACTTTCGAATAGGAAACGGGACTGGAATGTCGCCAAACACATAACTTTGTAAGCGTGCACCACGGCCACGCACACGCAACCAGCTGCCGAGAAATATAGACTGCGGGAACCAACGCGGCAAAAGAAAAATGGCGGCTATGACGTCATCATAACTAGCTTTGTTCACTGTAGCGTGGCGACATGAGGGAAGTAGGGGGTTACCTCGAGATTCCCTCCAATGATGTCTGTAGTGCTATGGAGTCGGTCGCTCACGCAAACTTCAAAATGAATTTAAAATACGTTCCAAGCTATATTCGCTGTTGATATCTTGTAGATGATATACGAATGTTCACGAGAATCGACCCTGCAGGCTATCTCGGCCCCAAAATTTTGCGTCAGTACCCTTTTAAGGCAAAACTCAAATGAACTCAAGAGTTCTGCGCATATTACACTGAAATACCTTCACCTGGCACAATGCGCTTGATGTGCTTTTGGTGTAATCATGGCTTGCACACTCTCATGCCCCTTCACAGAATTCCTGGACCCCACGGACAACACGCTGTCCTTCTTGACGTATAGCGCAACGCAGCTGCGCAGCTTTCCGGTGTCGGTGCTGCAGGTGGCACCACCGGAGTACAACCCCGAGTACCTGCTTTGCTTCAACGGTGAGTTGGTTTTGCAATGATGATGTGTTATGAGCTGGCTACCCATGCCGCTTTGATGTTGTGATATAATGCCTACTATCGAAGAAGTGCCAAAGTGCTCTCTGACAAGGTTATGAGACTCAAGGGGAACTATTGCAGAACATATTTACCCGTATCGGGGCCAATAGCTTTTTCTAGGGGTGTGCGAATATTTGAAATTTCGAATATTTTTCTATTTGTGTTTGCTATTCGATTTGATTTGCATTGTAATGTTCCTATTTCGAACTTCCCAAAAAGAAATATAGTCTATGTCTGAATGGAAGTGACCCCTTCAGATTTTAGCCCCTTGAGGCGCAAATTATGATGCGCTGTCTATAAGCATCTGAATTTCATACAGCATAATTCTAATGCACTCATTATTACATTCGAGGAAAGACTTCGTTTTTCGATAGCCTGGCTAATAAATAATAATTAGCAAATATTTAAATATCTGATTATGCTGCAGCCAGTCATGTTCGATTTTTGCACAATGAAAAGGAAATCTTAGGCTGAAAATGCACACACAGTTTGTTTCTGATCTTGTTAATCTTGAGCAAAGAGAAATAATACTTATAAAGTGTGTTCTGGAACGCATCGTGTTGAGTTACCTGTTGAATATCGTGGTACCTTTACAAAAGTAATCTGCTATAGTCGCACGCGGCACATTAGGGTTAAATCAAGACGTGTCGACTATGCAGAAGGTTCAATTGATCTTATGCATGATGTGTCATGTCCTTTCTCTCCCACTAGTTGGAAAAACTGGCAAAAACAAATCTTCTCCACATATGTAAATGCTGCGCCTCAAAAGGTTAATATGCTGCACCTCGTTACATTCTCGCATTGCAGCCGAGCTGCCTTTTCAACTTTGCTATTTATTTATTTATTTATTTCATTACTCTCAGGGCCCATAAAGGCATTACAGAGGGGGTGGGTAATATAACAAAAATGCAGCAATAATAGAACACAATAATACAAAATCTTAAGCTGAAAATGCACACACAGTTTGTTTCTGGTCTTGTTAATTTTGAGCAAAGAGAAATAATACTTATAAAGTGTGTAAATATACTGACTCAAGAAAAGGCTGATTCCTACGAGATGTTGATAGGTGTGACAGAGGTGGGGGCTCAATTAATGCTCTTTTGGTCTTGAAGTTCGGGCAGGAAGTCCAAAAATTTAGACAAAGATTTTTGGCATACAAAAAAACAGATGTGGTCGAAATTTCTGGAGCCCTCCACTATGGCATCTCTCATAATCATATGGTGGTTTTGGGACGTTAAACCCCACAAATCAATCAATCAATCAATCAAAAAATCAGATGTGTTCTTAAATTTCCATGCGCATTCTTTTCTGTGTTTTATAATGTTGCCAGTATAGTTCATGAGTGGATACCGCCTTGCACAATCGGCGCCGGAATGTCTTGGTGCGCTCTATGTAGTTTTTGGATCATCTGTTTGGCCTAAGCAGGCAGACACGAACAGCTGGGTTTATTCTGGAACCGACTCGGCCTATCAGTGATAACGCTGGAATGTCCAATGCCACGTTTATAAATGCTGAGGTGCGTAGCCACAAATATCGACAGCTGACGCTCTGTCCACCGCTATAAGTGTGTCAGTGCACAACATGCATTGCTTGCTGTAGTTTGACTTTCAATCTCCCGGCCACAAGATTGGCGATATAAATAGTTTCAACCGGGACACGCCGGCTGCTGCCTGTGTTGACCTCACGACCCCATGGCAATATACAGTGATATCTTGATACAGCAAATCTCAAGGGACATCCGAAAATGATACGTTATTTAAAATGATACGTTATTTAGAGATGTCGTTGTAGTGAGAGTATTAAACATTTCTGCAAGAATCGTAAACGCAAACATGTGAGACGCTTTCCTGTGCCGTGTGTACACTCGTGACTACGTTAGCCCTAATAAAGCATGAAAAAACAAACACGAAGTATTACAGAACTAGTGCATGCTTATTTGAGGAAGAACGCGATCTATTCAGATGTGGGCAGCGCAACTGCTGAAAGGCGAACTCTTATGTGTGCGCTTCCTTCTTACGCACTGCGAAGCATCGGCATTAAATACCAATCCTTCATGCATTGTTTCAGCATTGTCTTCGCACTCGTCGCTGTTTCCTAAATACGACAAATCGTATGGATCATATAGGTAGGTCGTCAGTCAGCTACGCTCACGTGCATGCTTCGTTGTCGCGCTGTGCGTAGTGTCCAAGTGTTACTGAACCATGCACGAGTGATGCAACCAATCATCGGCGACATCATCCCACAGGGCACTCTCGGCGCATTTTTCACTGTCGTAGTATTCCTTTCATGCTGCTTCCGAAGCATATCTCGAATGTTCAAATACCAACCAAAAGGCTAGAATATACAGCCGCGTAACAATGATGCTGGTAAAACTGGCCAACGAAAACAAAGGCAACGGGGCGAAACCTGATGGAAAAAACAAGTAGCAGGTGTTGATGACGGTGATGGGATTATGACACATTTGAATAAGGCGGGCAAGTAGAGAATTACATGGGCATTCTAATGGTGATTATAGTGGCGAGTACAGAGATAGGCATTATTTTTACAGCCGCGAGTAACTTTTTACAATCACTATTCATTATTTTGAAGCGATGTGTAGATATAAGAGGGATAAAACGCGATACATTTTTCTGAAACATTCGGTATTCTGAAATTAGTAGAACTGAAATATTTTTTCATTAAATCAATGGACATCTGGAGGGGGGTTTTCAGGAAAGCGTTTAACCTGAAAAAAAAAAATGGTTATCTGAGGTTTGCTATAACGAGATTTGACTGTATACAAGACAGATTTAGAACTTCGAACACCAAGGGAGCACACCCTTGTCTGCCACATCGGTTGGGCTTCCACAGAAGTTGAAAGAGGAAGAGAGGCTGAGGAAATAGCATCTTTGCTTTTCACATGTATGGCAGCAACACTTTGGTAGCACCAAATTGTGTACATAAATATAATTCGTCCTCCGCATTGACTCATTCTTGATAAGACAACTGTGAAACACCCTCCCTTTAATGCTTCATCAACCTAGCTACCGTAGTTGCACAATTGTAAGTTGACCGGTTTTATATTAATTTGAAATCTGAAGTTCGGAAGTTGGGGGAGTTGACCTAGAATCGAAAACCCGTTTCGGTTGTGAAGTCTTTCCGAAAATGATGTTTGCATATTTCTGCAAAGCTAGCTTTCTTGCATATCTTTGAAGCACCTTTGCACATCGGTGGTTTTACGATGTGTTTAAAAAAAAAAAAGTTTTTTTAGAAATAAAATGTGCTCGTGCTTTTTTTCTATGCTGTGCCATTTTCGGCGGTCAACTTACAATTGTGTAATTATGGCACATGTTGCTATGTCGTGAGAATATGCCTAGGAATCCTGTCCAACTTATTTTTTTTTTCTGCAATTTCGCTTTGAAGTATTAGAAAAATATTATATTCGATTCGGTTCACACTTACACTTCAACATTCCAATTTGCTTTGCACCCATGATTTTGCTGTTTTTTTAATACTCTTTTAACAATCTCTAGGGTCTTGTTAAAATACAAGGATATAAAAGTGCGAGGAAGGGTGCTTAAGGTTGGTGGAGACATAATCTAGTGTTGCTTAATAACATTTGATTCATTTAAAAAGGGGTTACTTGCCTAATTTTGTAATTATCTGCACCAACCACTCACAACAAAAAAGGCATGTTATGCAAAACGCCTCGCTGTGCGTCGATGCACTGGCCCTGGGGTGCCTCGGTATGTAGTTTTGCCTCGTCCAATCATCGTAGAGCATTGACAGCCACATGCGCCTTGGTGCAAATAGTGGAAGATGCCAGCTGCCGCTTCATCACGACAAAGTGTATCGGCTTTTTTTTTTTTTCTTTTTGTCAAACTTTCGGTGCATGCTCTGCGACTTTGAGCAATCAAGAGAACGTACCTAAGTGCATTTCAAGTGCCTCTGCATTTCAAGTGCTAATTTTTTTGCACGCTGATTTTACAGAACTGGGAGTGTTCGTGGATGCTGATGGCAGGCGTACGCGTGGCGACCTCAAGTGGTCCAGGCTTCCTCTTGCCTTCGGTAAGTTATGCTCTAGCTAGTAGAGATGTGGCAAGACAGCAAGCTACATTTTGCACTGAAATTACTGTGCGTGAGGTGTACTGTGCACCTTACTATTTTGCCGTGGTCACCTGTGCAGATGCAATCGCACAGGCTACCGCTCAAATTTTTTCAACGTGCTTATCAAAACATATCTGCATAGTTCCTGCTCAGGCGTGCTTTCGTTGGTGTTTCAGCACCATTAAAGCTTCAGTGCTCGTGACAGTGGCTTTCAGTGTAGTCAAGTTCATCACCATTGTTTAATGTTCAGGCATTCTGTTGTACGTGTTTCTATTTCACGTGCCTAAGCAGGCTTGGTTTTCACTATGTGCAGGCCTCAGTTGCTCTTTTGTGTGTGCTTTTCTGTGTTTTACAGCATACAAGTCACCGCACCTGTTCATACAGCATCTCAACTCAATAGAGATCCTGGAGATCAAAGCCAGGGGTGCCAAAGAAAGGTACTTCATGACCTTTTCCCATTCGAGCATCTCATTTAGGGAGGCAAAGTGTTTACACACATTGGAGCTTTCATTGTGGGTATTGTGCATCTTATTGCATAGTAATAAGCAATGTAATGTAAATGCTAGAAGTCTTATTTGAAATATTAATGAAGTTATGCATTAATGGAAACCGTGTTTGAACTGTCGATGTAACTGTCATTAAATCTGCCCGACGAAGGGTCCCCGACACATCCATGGCTGAGAACCACTGATCTAACTAATTGAAAAAAAAAAAGTTAGTTGATGCAATAGCTGCAAATTGCCTTTTTAAAGCCCCCACGAAGTGCAACCGCTCCGCTATGTTTGCGATGAAAACCACTGATTTCTCTAGGTATAGGCCGTGAAGTCCCTAGCCCGCTAGCTGTGCTTCCAGTACTGTCTTCCGGCACGCAACCATACTGACACCTGCCTGAAGCCTCGTCGCCTCGTGCTTTGTTCATTGTACGATCGGCGTGATGGGGTGACGGTTCACATTTGCTTCAGGCGCTGCACTGTGCTGCCTACCGGGCTGCAGAAATTAGGCGCCTTGCCCCGCCGTCGTGGTCTAGTGGCTAAGGTACTCGGCTGCTGACCCACAGGTCGTGGGATCGAATTCGAGCTGCATATTCGATGAAGGCGAAAATGCCATATGCTCGTGTCCTCAGATTTGGGTGCACTTTAAAGAACCCCATGTAGTCGAAATTTTCTGAGTCCTCCACTACAGCGTCTCTCATAATCATACGGTGGTTTTGGGATGTTAAACCCCACATATCAATCCAAATTAGGCGCTTTCTTCTTCTTCTAACCAGCACCACTATTTGCTTGTGTATGGTTGCGACGATGTCACATCGGCAGAGCTACACAGGTGACTTCAAGTGCCAAGTGATACTCTTTGCCGAGGACTCTAGCAATTGTGTCGCGCAGCGCGAGTTCTGTGTAAATGAGAAGTTCATTAGGGGTTTGCAAAAGCAGTGAGACCCTCTGTTTGGGGAAACAGACGGTACACCTTACGCGGCCCAGCAATCAGGAGCAATAGCAGGGATGACGACATCATTTGGGAAGCCGCGGATGCTTGCGAAGAATCTGATGACGACAACATTTGCACATCTTACAAGATGACATGCCCCGGCAGCGACTAGGGCGCTAAGTCATGTAAATAAAAGTGTGCTACGTTTCTGTTTTTCTGTTTTTAAATTTAAAAAAAAAACATGGGCCGACCTCTATTAGAATATTTTTTTTTTCTCGTAGAACACTACAAGTAGGGGTCGACCTATATTTGTGCCCAACTGTATTTTTGAGGAAATAGCGATAGGTTGCACTAGATCTTTTTCTGCTAAAGGAACATCTTCACCTAATATCTTTAATATACATAAACGAAAAGTAGAATGAGTCAGCTTTTCATGTGTAGAAGTTCCATTAACAAGACCGATGTATGTTGTGCAACTAGTTGTCTGATTCAAGACTTTGGGACAAAATCAGATTGGAATAACAGTGCTCACAGATTTATCATGTAATATTGATGAAATTTCGACTTGATTGCATTGATGAAATATGTACAGCAGAAAGATTTGTAGCAACATGACTGTTATCTCGAGCAGTTGTCCACATCAGTCATAAGCATGCTAATGTTATCACATTACACTATGTTAGTATAAGTTCTGATGCTGGAAATCAGAGCCAGGGGTGCGGTGCCAGGAAGAGGTATTTACTCGATTCTACCGCGCCTTCGATTGTAACGCGCACCCGGTTTCCACGACGAAAAAAAAAAAGTAAGACATCGATTGCAAAGCGCACCAATTTTTCTCGTTAGCCCGCACGATCACACCACGCAGGAAAACGACTCCTTTCGGGAGCGTATTCCGTTTAAATATGAGGTACGAGGGCAGCTTGTGCCTATCTGACGTACAACGGAGCATTGCTGTCACTCTAGTTTTACCGTGGCCCGATGTCAGCACGCAAACTTGCTTCGCACTTTTCTTTTAAAAGCGGCATCGTGGTGCACTCGTAGAGTATTTGGAGTCGGCCCTTCCATGCCAGCGATACTAATGCACTACAAAATGACGAACTCCTCAGCACACGTACGAAGTGCCGCACATGGGAAACACATAGGCAGAAATGGCCGACGCGCCATGCCGACGCACGTAGGGGGCGGCCATTTTGGAAATGCCTATGGCAATAGAATGACCATATTCTTTTTTTTTTTTTTTTCGTACTAAATTCTAACGGGCGTGCGATTTATGAACTCGCTTAACCGGAAAAAAGGTGTGCGTTAGATTCGAGTAATTACGGTAGTACCTTTTGATCTGTGCCCTTTCAAAGCATATTGTTTTTCGACGCAGAGTGTTTATGCAGGTTGGAACTTCACACGATAGCATATCTCATTGCATTGTGCTAAGCTACACAACTCGAATGAAAGAAAACTTATTTGATGCTGGTAAATGAAGCCATTTAGTGATGCAAAATCATTTTTTCTCACTCAAAGCTCATTTTAACAAAGTTGCATCTTGCACGAAAATAAGTTCGTTATGTATGAGAATTGGCTATAGAGGTACCATTCTTCTCACTATATTGCAAGACTTCTTCATTGACTGCATTATAACCGATTTTTTGTTGTATTTGGGGTCATTTATCTATCGATGTTTAAGTGTAACGACGGCAGTTTAAGGGTGTGGGGGAAAATTCTCATGTACTTGAACAATAATTAAAAGCCAGGTGGTCGAAATTTCCGGAGCGCTTCGCTATGGCATCTCTCGTAATCATGTGGTGGTTTTGGGATGTCGAACCCCACATATCTAACAATAATTAAAAGCACCACTCTCGGTGCGGGAAGACGCTTGTTGTTAACAGAGGAAACGTGCAAAAAAGGAGGTACAAGCGTTGATGCTGCTTTATTGAGGTTCTCTCACCAACTCACTATGACTTCATAGATATCCACGGTATTTCAATTGAGCTTTGATTTGTAAGCTCTGCAGGTGAATACACATGGTCCGCCTCAGTGGACCAGTGGCTAGAGCACTCGACTACTGACCGGGTTCGATCCCGGCTACTGCAGTCGCATGTGGATGGAAGTAAAATGGTAGAAGCTTGTGTACTGCGCAATGTTGGTGCACATTAAAGAAGACCAGATAGTCGAAATCTCCAGAGTCCTCCACTGCAGTCTCTCATAATCGTATGGTGGTTTAGTGATGTCAAACCCCCTCATAATTATTATTATATGCATACACAAGCTTTTGCCAATCCGACTGACCCATATGGTGGCCTCGTGTTTTCAGTGGGTTGCATCGCATTGTGCTGGTGAGCAACCCTCGATTTCTGGGCCTCTCCTCGCTGGGCTCCATGTACCTGGCATCGTTCCACAGCGGTCAGCTGGAGGTCATCTCAGTGAATGCCACTGCCAGCGGCAGCACCGATCAGATGCAGCTGCCTTCAAGGTGAGCCAGGCTACAGTTCAGTATGCAGCTCACCAGGTACTCGTATCTGGTGCACGCGCTGCTCAAAGAAGTTTCGTCAACTGAAAGCTCAAGCTTGATGAGCTGTGGCTTCGTGTCAGATGTCACATAATTACTAGGCTTGTGCGTCCAGTCTTTGTCTTTATCTCATCTGAGATTGGCAGTATTTCTAAATAAAAAAAATTATGAAAATAAATAAAATTTTTGTTCGATGCAAAATCAAAATGAATAGTGATTGATAATTTCAAATTGAATGTCAAATTGTAGAGAAAAATGAAAATATTTGCTGGAACCCAACTAGCCTGCATAATATTTTTAAGAAGTGAAACTATACATGTGCAAATGTCACTGTTTTTGGCTCAGAGTGGAAACAACTTTGAATAGTAGTAAGATTTCACTTTTGCTGGAATGCAAGTGATTTCTTTAGAGAATATGTGCCGGCATAACAAGCTTCTGAACTAAAAAAAAAGTGATTAATTGACTTGAAGGAGAATGTTTATTTAATTTTGAAGTTGGGCTTCATGGCAGTGTGGATTTCCTTTGGAGAAGTGTATTCACGGTATACCACCCCTTTATTGCAGTGGAGCCACCCTTAAGGAGGGGTTACATGCTTTATATTTGTTTATTTGTTCATTTCGAATACTTCAAAAGTTGAGTAATTTAGATTCGTGTTGAAGCAAATTCGAATGTACTGTAATATTCGTTCAAATATTCAGACAGGCTTAATAATGACCTTATAACGATGAGCATAGAAAGCGATTGGTGCGACACTGATGTCAAATGCACCGGTTGCGTCACAATGAAACCATTCTTCGGCAACCAGCTTTCTGGCAGAGAAGTAGCCAGGAAGTGATCACAGTGCTAAAGCCCTTCTCTACTCAGATTATTTGCATGTTATGCTACATCACAAGCGAAGAGCTCATGTGTCACAATTCACAGCATGTTAACGGAATTTTTTGTATTGGAACACTTTTTTCAAGATATTCCAGTGATTCATGGTGACAAGAATTACTGTATTCTTTTTCAGTTTCCAAATAAGTACAGTAGAACCTTGTTGATACGTTCCCGCCTAATACGATTTCCTGGCTCCTACAGTCGAAGTTGCAAAAACTAGAAATGCCCCCATAGCGCTCGTCCCGGAAAATACGATTATTCGTCAGCAACGTTCGGAAATGTGGCAAACTGCAGTCATATGATACGTTCCATGGGCAAAAATTCTCACTCTGGTGTGGAAAAAACCGCTCTTGCGTGCTTGTGAAGCGCCAAGTGGCAGAGTGGACGGCAATTTATTTGCTGCCCTCAGTTGTCAGCCCTTCATCACCCGCGTTTTCTTCGAATTATACTCAGTCATCCCCTCCACGCTTTCTTCGAATGCCCGGTCGCCCTCTCCAGTCACTCCTGCAGCTGTCTGTGAACCACGCACTGACCCGTCTGAGCCGTCAGTCTTCGAACGGTTTTTAAAAAATGCCTTTTATTTTCTGTAGTACAGTGGTTTTCTTTCCGAGCCGTCACCTTGGCACGATTTCGCTGAGCACTGCAAAGCCTTCATCCGTAACACAATACGTGAAAATGCGATCGTCCCACACTACAACAGCCGAGAGAACACTGCAGAGCTAACCATCGCTTCAGCACAAGACGCACGTGCTGCTTTCGCTACATCTGCCTCCTCTTCCGACCCCGTCTCACGCGCTGCTGGCGTCTGCCAGCATGTTCAGCATAGAGACTTCCACGTGCTGTTTGGTATTTAACATTTACCATTACTTTTTTTAAATTTTATTGCAGGCGAAATATCGCTTCTTGCACCTTTCAGGTTTATTAGATGTTTACTGTTGCGCTTAATGAGTCTTACAGCAGCAAACTGTAGAACAAGTACTGGGAAGTCTCAAAGCATCCAGAGTATTTCATTATAACATTACTCGTTTTAGTTTCAATTTGGCTGGCGGAATATAGATGCCACAGCATTGTAATGGTGCATTGGCTTAGTTAATCTCTGTGGTTGCCATAGTTACCATATTCCAGCACAGTTATCATGAGCAGTGATATCACACCTGGTCTTATCACTCTACATAGCATCACAACACGGTGCCACACTTTTGCACTTGTTAGGTATCTATTTGTTTGCCAGAACCGGGCGACACGGTTTCCACAATGAATAAAAACGCTATTCCTCATCTACAAACATATTCAAGCGAAGCTTGTATTGCCTCTCGGATATTGTTGGCATTGTAGATGTGACAGCGAAAAGCCTTGTGGCCGACAGCACAAAAAAAATGCTGGCCTTGAAGGTGTGCTGGCTGCACGTACTCATATAAAGGCCATTTTTCTGGTAACTGATGTTCTCTTGATTTTGGGCATGTCACTGATTAGTGATCGGACATTTCTGAGACAGCAATCTGATTTTTTATCGAGGTAGCTTATTCAATTGTTGCTTGGATATGAGTGCATTACCTTTATCGTTGACTGCCGCCACTGCTGAACACATGGATGGCGGTCCAATTTTCAGCATGGAGGGAGGAAGCAATAAGAAGGGAGCATTGCTCAATGTGATATATAGATATACACTCCTACCTTGATATAATAAACCTGGATATAATAAAAGATCAGTTGTAATGAAGCAAATGAAAAATAGTCTTGCGTAGATATAGTGTTAGGAATATACCGTCGAATCTCATTAATTCGAACACGCCTAATTTAAAATTCCGGTTAATTCGAACTCGCGATGAGGTCCCATCAAAGCTATGTGTATTCCAATGGGCAAAAACGCCTGGTAATTCGAACGCGCAAGCACTTGCAATGGTTAATTCGAACATACCGCGCTCCAAACATGCTCTCAGCACCCCGCCCAATCCTGTGGCAGCACCTGCGACACCTCAACGCTGCGCGTGAAAGAAATGAAAAGAGAAGAAAATGCTGCGGCGGAATGTTTGCTCTCTCTCAAATGCCGATCTGCGACACGCCCGTGTCACGATTCTCCCTTTTCCTGTCCCTGCCTCATAAAGACGTATCACCTTCCAACGCCGCACGCGGAGAGAGAGAGAGAGAGAGAAAAGAAAGCTGTCACTGGGTTGAATGAATGTGTGGTTGAAGGAAAGGAAAAAAGCACTATCTTCTGCAGCCCTTGCCCCTTGCGGGAGCATGGCTCTACGCCTTGAAGGGGGGGGTCTCTCACGCGCAGGTGCCACGCTTCCCCCTTTCCCGTCCCTGCCTTGTAACCCTTTTCCTTTCAACAATGCATTATAATGACTCATCAGCCTGACTACGTCCACTGCAGGACTAAGGCCTCTCCCATGTTTCGCCAGTTAACCCGGTCCTGTGCTTGCTGCTGCCAATTTATACCTGCAAACGTCTTAATCTCATCTGACCACCTAACCTTCTGTCTCCCCCTAACTCGCTTGCCTTCTCTGGGAATCCAGTTAGTTACCCTTAATGACCAGCGGTTATCCTGTCTACTAGCTACATGCCCGGCCCATGTCCATTTTCTCTTCTTGATTTCAACATGATATCCTTAACCCCCGTTTGTTCCCTAATCCATTCTGCTCTCTTCTTGTATCTTAAGGTTACACCTACCATTTTTCTTTCCATTGCTCGCTGCGTCGTCCTCAATTTAAGCTGAACCCTCTTTGTAAGTCTCCAGGTTTCTGCTCCTTAGCTAAGTACCGCAACAATGTGCACAAGAAGAAAAAAAAAAACAAAAAAGAAAGCTGCCGTGGAGTGTTGGTTTTCTCTCAAATGCCAATCTACTTATCTCCGCGTGGAGACGCTCCTCCTTTCTCGTCACGGCTGCTGGCCATGCCTGCAGCTGCATAGTGGAGAGCGAGAGGCTCCGCTACGCAGTCGTTGTTGTCGTCTTTAGAAAGTGTCGGCGCTGGAAGTCTCCGCATGCAACTTCTCTTGCCAGGAGAATTATGAAGCCAAAGCTGAAATGTTTTGCAAGCTGCGTGCGAAATTGATTGACTTGCTCCAAGGCAAACGTAGTGCAAACGTGCATTACCGATTACTTCAATTAATAACGAATGTCCTGTAATTTGTGAATAAATGTAAGTCTTCTGGAACTTCCCCTCGTGTGTTAGCTCAATGCACATGCGCCACTGCATGGAGAGCCCTCTGTTTATTTAGCTTTCATTAATTCGAACTTGTTTTAATTCAAAGAAATTTTCGGGCCCCTTGGAGTTCGAATTATAGATATTCGACTGTACCTTTATAATTGTCAATTATAAAGAACATATTTTCGTGTAAGACGCAATCGAGTGTAAGGATGCGTCATAAATAAAAGTAGCAAGTCAGGCATGCATCTTCTCAATAGAGGAAAGGCCTCAGAAATTTTGTCTTCCACTTTGCAGCCGCCTGGAGAACAGCGAGGCTGGCGAGAGTGACGAGATGCAGTTTTCCTTCACGTCTTCCGTGGTCGAAGCACTGGAAGAGTGAAGCTGTGCCAGCACAAATGCACGCACTGCAGCCGGTTGCCAAAATACACTCGTGTGCACACACCCCCACACGACGATTGTGATAGGAGACAAGGTTCACAACTCCTTCCTCTAGGTTCAGACGTCACATTTTTTATTGCATTTATATATGTGTGTGTATATTTTTACGTTTTATATCGTGAAAACCTCCGGGAAGTTTTTTCACTGAATGTCGTCTTGCACCAAACAAGTCTTACTTTCGCCATCTGGAAAAAAAAAAGTTGTAATGTCTAAGCGTTGAGGCTCTGTTTCAGTTGCCGAATTATTTACAAGCACCTGACTCGTGAACAAAGTCGGGGCAATTATACTGATTTCCTTCGTAACATAATGTACAGCAAAATTTTTATAATGTGTTTTATGCAATTTTAGTGGAGCCAAATTTATTGAATAAAAACTGTATTTTACCCTTTCACAAGGCTCAACTTTGCGTTTATTTTTTTATTCACTGCACAAGTGCATAGTGGGGTGCAATGAACATGGCAGACATGCCCGCATGTCGCACTATCTGCCAACCAACAACAGGTGTTCGAATAGGCCATCACACCGATAGTTATTGACCTAACTGTCAAGTATGAGCAGCGACATGAGCAGTTTGGAAGGCCATTGCGTCAACAGAGCACCCCACAACTCCTTTGACACTTCGATGGCCACTGAGCGACAGAAGCGGAAACAGCATAAACGTGTTCTCTTGTTCACAGTGTACTCGTAAGCACAATTAGAAACAAAAATCTAAACAGTATGTGTTAGTTTTGGCACTTATTTAATAGAGTATTTTACCACTTAAAATGTGCACACAGCACATACTCTCGACAACAGTCAGGTGCTTGTCTTAAGCGTGCTGTCTTGCTGCTTACGCTCACCGCACTTTCACTGCTCAACAACTTGACAGCTAAATGTACATTCATAACAACGAATAAACACTTTACTGAAATATTTAAACATCAACAGACATATCTAAGTTTTCAGGCGAAATTGAATTATTTTTTAACTTTAGAAGACATTATTAAGACAATAAGAACGCAGCAGCACACAAATATCGCAAAAAACACCTCGACTACTCAAAGGCCTTTCAAAACTGCCTTATAGCAACGTGACAACTCTATGGAGTCGATAGAGCTTCAGCGTTTCGATGGCCATCGACAGCATGGCCTTTCCAAAGGGCCCGTGTGACACAGGTACTATAAGCTGCGCTGACGTACAAGAAGCTGACACGGTTATGGGGTGATAAAGGATGCGTCAGGTCAAGGTTTGAGGGAGCAATATAGCAAGTTGTGATTTTGGGAAAGTGTTTTTTAGACCTGAAGTGGCATTTTACTGTACTATGGAACCTTGATTACAGTGAACTGCTGATTTTTCGGACACCCGAATTTTCGGACATGCCCGATAATTCAGACATCTTCACGGCACCGCCACGAGCCCCATAAAATCAATGTCTGAAATTTCGGACAAGGTCGGAAATTTCGGACGCTCGAACCCCCCCGGAGTCCAATTTTCCGGACTTTTTGTCATGACGGAATGTCGGAAACCACCACTGACCTCCAGTGGAAACCACCACAACTGCGTCACACGCGATTACAATTCGCATAAATGACCTCCAGTGGAAACCACGACAACTGCGTCACACGCGATTACAATCGCATAAATGAGCGCGCCGGTCTACTGTGGCGGCATCTGTTGCTTGAACTCGTTGATTGTTAGCGAAGAAACACATCACGGCCTCTGAGATTCCTAACACTGGCCGTGTTTATCGTGCAAGGGTGCTTCGCTGACAATCAGAACTATCCACCCGGAAATTTTTTGCCGCCAATAAAGTTCCTTTTGCTTTACCGCTCGTGCTCTACGTGCCACTCTGGCTTCCAGTGCAGTGCTTTCGCGAAGCGTTTCACCACGAACTAGAACTAACCGTCCCACACCGATTTGGTCTGGCTATGCTGGATATCTTGAATGTTTACCAGCGCCACCTCCGGAGTACCCGAGGCACCATCGCCTGCCGTTGCGCCGTTTTGTTTACGCAGCCCACATAGTGTTTAGCTAGCCTAGTGCGTGGTTGTCCGATCGTGTGAAGTGTCAACGCCTCCTAGATTTCCCATGCCTGCCGGATTATCGGCGGTCACTTTGGAAGCGGCGGTCGTCAGAACTAAGGTGGTGGCGCTACTCAAGTAGGGGTGTCTTTAAATAGGTTTTTACGTTTTTGGAGCTTATATGCAACAAAAATAACGTAAGAAAGTTTTAAAAAAGCGTAAACGTAATTATAATTAACCCCACGTAAGTGACGCTGTCATTCAGCAAGCTACTTTTTTAATACAAGGCATCCTCTGAAGTTAGTAGCAAACGCCAAAATTGCCGATCTCAAAGGCCAAGTACAAGGACCCTTACCCCTACGTAGGCAGCGCCGTTATAGATGACCAGCGTTTCGCGCTCATCCGGCAGGCACGGGAAATCTAGGAGGCGTTAGAAGTGTGCTCTGCAATGCTATGCCTAGGTGCTTCGACGCTTGCCAGCAAACTCCTTTGTTCACATCGTGAGGATTTCCCTTGCCTGCGATAGCCCCCACTCCGCCTTCGTCGTCCTCGCTAATGGCACCGAAGTGTGGAAAACAGTACCGTCGGTTAACGATGGAGAAGACAGCCATTATTAAGTTAGTGAAGAGTGGCCGATCGCAGGCTGACGTGAGCAAGGAGTTCGGCATTTCCAAGTTCGACGTTTCCAAAAGTCTGGTACTTCGACCTTAACCATTTTGATCTGAGAAATATCGATGAAATGGTGCGTTTTTTGCTTGCATTGAAAATTATCAGTTAAATAATGCGTTTTTTTTTTTTTTGCTTGCATTCATTTTTTCGGACAGTTTTTCGCTCCCTAGAGGGTCCGAAAAATCAGCAGTTGACTGTATACGACTTTCAGGGGACCACGCAAAACGGTCGTATAACCCGAGCGTCGTATAATAGAAAAACTAAGAATGTAGCAATGACACTCAGCCTTCCCCAAAAAATGGGTATAGACCGCCTGAATAAGCCCACGGCACGATTTTGTGCCTCTGCTAGAAATGTAGATTAAATTATTCTTGCCAGCGATAGCTAATGGCAGCGTAACTTAGTTGAAAGAGGTGCGAGCGAATCTCTATTCTCATGTTTAAAGGGAATTGATTCCTACGCGCATCTTTCTACCGAAAAATAGTCCTAAAATTGCCTGTGCGTGAGAATGAAACTGAAACAATGCTGCCAATAGCCTCCCGTCAGAAAGTCAGACACAGTGTCATCGCTATCGCATAATAACGACCGACCACGAGTGTGCGTAGAATGCCTTCGTGTGCGACTGAGCTATGCACGTTGTAATTTGTGGCCTTGTGAAGTGCAACTAGTGATGCCCCGCTGTTAGTATAAATGTCGACGTCAAGTGAAAGTAATCTTTCACAGTGAAAACAGCTGCGTTCGCAAGCCTGCGACTGCAGTGCGACAAAGGCAGGAGATCAGCTGTATGTCGACCAGAAAATGTTTCCATGGACCAAAAATGTGAAAATATCAGCTTTTCGGCCGGCTGGAGCTACTTTGAGTGGATAGAGCTTGACCAGGTAACGACCCCAGATATGGTCCACGCTTGATTCGAGTAAAGGCGTCCTTTTTTCTTTTGGGCGAAATCTGAATGTCATCACAAGATGCGGGGTCGGCGTAAAACTGCGTCGTATAACCAAGGCTTTTAATACATTATTCCTGTGGGGATTTGGCCTAGACGTAACCGATTCGTCATAAAATGAGGGTCGTTGCAAAACCGGGGGACGTATAATTGATGTTCCACTGTACTGCTTGTGGGGCAAAACATAGGCCTAGCATTTACACTGCATGCATAATCAGGTAAAATTAAGGGTTTCGTATGGCTACCGGAGGAGCACCAGACAACAGTGCACCTTGCTAGGTACAAGATGTAAAAAGTTCAGTGTGCTTGCACATTGAGGGGTAATGTGGCCATCATTTGCGTAGAACTAAACTGCTTCACTCCACATAAACCTGCAGGTTTCCTTTGTACACTAGCTTTCAACCACATGCAAATCATCAGATCCAAATCTGTAATGTCGATACTCACAGCCGCAGTACTTTGTCCTTGCCTCCACTAACAACCTGCGATCCATCTGGGCTCCAGTCAACGGCATACACCTGTGCAAACATAAGCAGAAAAGACTTGATATCAAGAAACACATACAACCAAGCAGGCTTTTAGTTAGGCACTTAGGTAAAAAATGTAATGAGACTTATACTGGTCAGTTCACAGACAAAAGTGAATAATACCTTTAGCACAAACAACTGAGTGGCAAAACATAACGTCGATTCAAAAGCAGAGCCTCCTTCAACCTTGCTGGCCTCAACACTGACACCATTACCACACCAATGGTACTCTGGGGCATAAACCCTTGCTACGGCAACACCGAAAGCTGGTATGTTGCGTGTGCCACTGTAGATAGAAGAAGTAGCAGCTTGCAGTGTCAGGATGACAAGTATTGGGTTACTTGAGCAATCTGATACTCTGGCAAACGACGGGTGCAGGTAGCAACCTGTACGGGGTTCCTTGGAATAGACTAGGCTAGGGGACAGTGAACTGAACTTCATTGCCCACTTGATTTTACGGCCCCGTCGTGCGAGCAGCCCACTGTGTGCTAGGGGTACACGCCTTCGGACTTTCACGAATAAAGTTTTCCTAAACCAATCCAAACCGCTGCTTTAAGTTGAAGGACCGCTGAAAGAGCAATTTTGGTTTGCGACTTCTTTAGTGTAATTAGTCTTCTTGTGTCTGGTAATACCGTATTTGAATTGCGAATGCTGTAACCTATAACGTAGTTAATGCTGGCATCATTAATTGGGACCAATTCTAGCGCCATTTCAAAACGCCCACCTAAGATCCCATAAAATTAGCACTCCCCAGAGCGGAAGCGCCTTAGAGCACAGGACTATCAAACAATACGAGCGTCTCAAGCACGATTTGTCCAAACAAAACCCTAAACTCACAGACTGGGATGGCAATGCTCTTTACCTCGTCAGCATGCCCAGGGAGGTCTCCTGTGAGCTTTCCGGTAGACACGTCCCAAAGCTTGAGCGTGGAATCTGAGCTACCGCTGACTATGAGCCGGCTGTCGGCGGACCAGGCCAGCTGGTAGACACAGCTGACGTGGCCACGTAGTGCAGCAAGGAACCTTGGAGGGAAAAAAACAAACAAATATCGTAAGGTTAATTTACACACAGTAGTAAAACTACTGTCGCTTGCAAAGGCAGATATTTTGTGACAGTGACCATGCTTTACTACATAGATATATATTAGTATTCGAGAAAAAAAAAGCCAATATTGCAGTATGACAGCTGCTAATGGTGGTACAAACAGACCAGGTAGAACAGAGTTATTATAATGTGCACATTAGGCCAGGCAAACTGCCTAACTACTCCGAAAAATCAAAGCAGTTTTGCTTAACTGTGAGCAGATTGGACAAGAATTCTGTATTATTAATGTTAGTGATCGCAGACAGTAAAGTGCTTTATGAGCAGCTTAGAATTTAACCAGCATGTTAATGGGGCCCTGCAACACTTTTTGAGCAAGTCGAACAAACACTGCTGATAGGTAGTTGAGGCTCCTGAAAACATTTGAGCTCAACTTCCAAGCATGCAGCCTGGAATTTACAAATAGCCTTCAGATTTAGCAAGAAATCACCCACTCTTATCAAGACAAATGAAGCCATATCATTCGAAATGGCTGTGTCTTTGAAGCACAAAGTAGACAGTCACTGGCTTATTTGGCATAGTGAGCTGCGTAGTGGGATTACGCGACCGTGCCCTTGCTGCTCACTAAAAGCAAGCCGCGGATTCAAAGAAAAAGAAAGAAAATAAAACAAAGAGCTTCAAGTCGTGAAAAGTGCTGACAAATAGACATAGCTTATTTCCCCCTTGTCATCCCTCCCTGCTTAGCTTTCAGCGCACTCACTACAACGAAACAAGAGAGAAAGCACTTGATATGTGCGACAAATCCTTGCAACTCGACCTAAACGTGACGAATTCTAAACATTTTTGTAGTGGTCGATTTGTGAGGCAATAAATTCCACTACAGAATCCAGTAAATCATTACTTGGAAAAGTGTTGCAAAGTCCTTTTAAGCTCAGCATGTAAGCTTTTGCAAGTTACCCTGAAAGCCCGCACATAGCTCGGTTCCGCATATAGTCTGGGGCGTAATTTGGGGATAGCAAATGTGAGAAAAAATGTTTTCACCCGAATATAGCCCAAGTAAAACGGAAAAATGAATTTATTGACACACTTCATTCATTGTCGTCGTCGAACGCACTCTCTTCCCAAGCCCCCTTGTCGGAAATGTTCTCCCACAGCACAACGTCCTCAGTGCCATCAAGCGCCTTCAAGATGGATCACTTTTCGAACGCACGGCAAGCGAGTGCCTCGGGAATGCAGGTCCAAGCCTCGACGAATATCCACAAGCACAGCATCGCTGGTGAGGCCTGTTTCAGCCGTCCGGCAGGGGTTACTTTTGGACGTACGGGCACTTGACATCCTTAAATAGCTTATTAAGGTGCACATCAAGCGGCTGCAGCTGTGATGTCATCCCTCCTGGGATGACGACGAGCTCGGTGGGGGAGTCGCTCAGATGACACCGAAACCCATCGAGCACAAACATCCAAGGGAGCTCCAGCAGTGCCCCGGGCCGTCGACACCACATAGAGCCTTTCTGATGCACCGTCAGCGCTGAGGGCATATTCAGGTACACCGGCGGTCAATTCCCGTTGCCACTCTGACCCAGGTGAAAGGGGACAGCCTTTCGCAACGCTATTACATACTTTTGAAACTTCACAAGGTCTTTTTCATAGCTCTTTGGTAGCTTCTGCGAGATCAACGCATTGCGACGTAGGGAGAACTCGGTATGGTACATGAAGAGAGAGCCCAATGCTTGCTCATTTTGAAATCCTCTGCTGGATGCCTTTGTCTCGGGCAATCTCCCTTGCCTTCACTTGTAACAGCTTGATGTTAACAGCGATATGTGCAGCTCGCTGCTCCCATACAATGTCTGCAAGTTCTCATTTCATGTTAGGAAATGCTCCATTTTTTCGGTCTGCGGAAATCTTTTCACTGGCCGTGGCAAGCAAAGAGGGCATCGTTCTGCTTCCGCCAACAGCGAATATTCCGCTCGTTGACTCCGAACTGCTGCTCCGCGGCACAGTTACTAATGGTCTCAGCAGCAGCAATAACTTTCCTTTCGAAAGCAGCCGAGTACTGGCTGTGCGGTGCTGACATGGCGTAAAATCACAGGAGCAAAATCGTGGCCACCATTATGGCCGCCAAGTTCAAGCAAAGGCCACTGACCACTGTTGCAGGCGTGAGTCTGCAAGACTAATGCGTGCTACCGGCTCTAACACTATCTAACACCTAGCGCAGAAGCGCGAAAACACCTGATGATGATGATGATACAGTCGAACGTCGCTTCAACAAAATTTCTGCCACAACAAAAAATTGACAGTTCCCCGTCAGCACTACATAAAAGTCAATGCATAAATATTGTCGCCACAACGAACCCAACGTTACCTTCACAATTGCCCATCACACATGGAAGACATTGAGAAAGGCTTGAGTGTAGCAGGCAAACACCTCAGCAATGCTAAGATGCTTCACTGTGGTCAGAAAAAGCGAGCAGCTTATACCCAGAAGCAAACTTGTCTATAACCCTGCGTAGCTTGTTTTAGTGCTATGCTATGGGATGATGTTGAGAACAATGACACCGTGACAAAGATCTACACTCATACCTCGATATAACAAACACAAATATAATGGAATATAGGTTATGACGAAGTAAACGAAAAATAGTCTTGCAACAGATACAGTGTTGGTAATAACTAACAAATTTTAAGATATAACGAACTTACTTTTTTTTTAAATGCAAGTTAGTTTTAATGAGGCACAAGTGTACTTACTTTCCCGTTCTACCATCCCACAGTTTCAAGGACTTGTCGAAAGAAGCACTGGCCAGGAGTCGCATGTCGGGTGAAAAACGAACATCGTTGACCACCCTCTGGTGGCCCGTCATGTGCGCTGCTGGCTTCTTGCTTGTCTCTGGCAACCACAGGGCCAGTGTGAAATCGTCCGAGCCCGAGGCCAGCCTCTCAGGCTCACTGCCTCGAGCCTCCTTGTAGCGTTGCTCGGCACGGCGCTGGAGCTCCTCTGAATCGTTGCGGAAAGAAAGAAACGTTCACACAATAAATATGCTCGTACAACAACAGAGAGCACATCGTTGAAAGCATTTCTGTAGAACTTCATTCTATGTAGTGTCCTGTAGCATGCACTGGCATTGAAATGCTCATTTAAATATGACTCAAACCTTTATATAACAAACATGGATATAACGCAACATTGGTTACAATGAAGTACAGTGTTGATTGATTGATTGATTTGTGGAGTTTAACGTCCTAAAACCACCATATGATTATGAGAGACGCCGTAATGCAGGGCCCCGCAAATTTTGACCACCACGGGTTCTTTAACGCGCACCCAAATCTAAGCACACGGGCCTACAGCATTTTCGCCTCCATCAGAAATGCAGCTGCCGCAGCCGGGATTCGATCCCGCGACCTGCGGGTCAGCAGCCCGCAGCTAAGGTACTCGCGGGTCAGCAGCCCGCGAGTACCTTAGCCACTAGACCACCGTGGCGGGGTGAAGTACAGTGTTATGTACAGTGTAAAGAATAATCTTTATAACAAATTTTTGGATATAACAAACTTGTTTTGTAGTAAGATGCAACTTTGTTATGATGAGGTTTGAGTGTATTAGATCAACAGCGTGAGTTAGCAGAAAAGCTCCACTGCCTTTCAATCAAAGGTCATTTAATACATGTAAGTGATAAATCAGCAGTAGAACCTTGACCTGACTAGAATAGATATTATGAACTAGTTCATACAGCAGAGTGAATAAGGAACTTTCAATGCCAATATAATAGACCCCCAGAGTGTGAATAATCAAAATTTCAAATATTTTTTAAATATTGTCTATTATCCAATTCGATTTGCACTGAAATTTTAGGATTCGAACTTCCAGAAAACAAATACAGTCAATGTCTAATTGACAATGGCCTTTTAAATTTTCCATATGCTTCACCCAATCACACTTGCATATTGCCACATAGGCTGCCTTTCAGGCCCAGCTACGGTCGGAAATGTATTGATCCAAGAAAACGCTGGTTCCAACATGCAACATGATATATGTAGCAGTGATTGGAGCTCAATTAATGCTGCTTTGAATCTGAAGTTTAGGTAGGAAGTACAAAAAATCAGATCCCAAAGATTTTTAGCATATATAAGTTCAGATATTCTTATATATTGACGTATATGAGGCATATTTGGAACTCCAGACTTGAAAAGAGCACACCCTTGTCTGCCACATCAGTTGGGCTTCTACAGAAGTTCACAGAGAAGGAGAAGCTGAGGAAATAGAATCTTTGCCTTTCAAATGTAAAGTGTTGTCAGTAACACTTTGGTCGTACCAAATCATGTGCAAGATACAATTCGGCCTCTGCATCACCTTATTCTTGATAGAGGCTATGAACACCACCCCACTAGCATTTAACCAAGCCAAAAGCAACACTTTCATACTGATGACGGTGAAGCACTGGGAAGAACATCTGCAACATGAACATATACTAACATGCCCAAATGGCAGTCACTTTAATGTTGCTATCTCATAGGGAATATGTTAACAAATCCTCTCCAATTTTTTTTTTTCGCAGTTTCTCTTTGAAGTACATATTAAAAAATACTTCAATATTCGAATTTGCTTCGCACCCATAATTTTGCTATTTGCATGGCTCTGTAGCATAAGCCTACGATGAAAATCAACCCTGATGTCACATATTTTTGCATGAGATGAAACTGTTGAAATTGGAAGTGACTACATAAACAGGCACTATAACAGTCTCATCCAATGTGAAGATACTTTTGTTAAATTGTATGTTTATTATTGGCTTCTATTAAAGAGAAGACTTTTTCATTTGAATTTGCTTCGCTATACCCAAAGTGCTATTATTATTCTGTGCTATAAGTAGCTATGCTCTGTGCTATGTTTCTTTGTATAGTTCAATCATGTATTTTTTTTGCTTTTTTTCTATTTTAAACATTGTATCCAGTTTGATGTCCTTTGTCGCTGTATAACTGCTTGCGCAAGTATGTAGGTATGTCACACAATTGGTCCCTCTACTAGCCAGTTAGGCTATGGGACCAAACAAGTGTTTGCGAAGTTTTTTGTTACATGAATGTGAAAGTTACAATAAAAAAAGAAAAATTTGCCATAGTGCCGCAGCATGACAAACTTAGCACTAACTTAAGGGGGGATACGGGTTTTGGTGATGAAAAAACGCCAAAAAATTCGATTTTTCAGTTTGGTGATTTTCGTTATCTTCATATCATCCCGCACCTGCCAGCAAAAATGAACTCGAAATGACGAGTCGTTGAGCCAAAAAATGTTGTGTTTAATCATCCCAGCACTTGGTTTCGCTTACGAAATCGCCGAAAACAGCCCCCTTTTGCGTTGCTCGGATCGCGCCAACCCCTCATCGGATCGGGGCCATCTTAGTCTCGCTTGAAAGAGCTTCTGTTGAGCTCGCTTTCCCGCCAGGAACAAATCTTCAATGCTGCAGCCAGTCTGCGCTACCAAGCAAAAACAAGCGACAAAACCGTGCGGTATCATTGGTCCATAGCAGTCACGTGAGTGAACAGCGGCTTGTGATTGGAGCGCGGGGACTGACAACACTGGTGATCATGCGTGTGCAGCCGCAAACACACGCGTCGTCACCGCTATTTCGGAAGTTGTGCAGTTTTGCGATCGAAATCGAGATGCCGAACTGTGCTCGAAAGTTCCACACACTTCACAAATTCGGCAAGCGATGGAAAAAATGTGCTGTGCAGCCCAAAGAGTCATCGTAGCCAGCGCAGGCTACGTCGGCAGAGCGAAGCGGGACAGGAGAACGGCAGTCGCCGCGATGCAGCAGCCCAACACAAAGGCAGCCTTCGATCGCTACAACTTCTACCAGTGGCGACACGCGCTCAGAGTGCCATAAATCATCGCAACTGCCAACGAAGATATCTGCAGATCTCGACTGAAGAGTGCAATGGATTCCCAACGAAGTGGCGTTGTAACACAAGCGATTGCGACGGCGACCACGGTGCCATCGGAATCATCTGATTGTGGTGATGGTTCAACAAGACGCCAGGAAACAACACCGCTTGTGATTAGGACAGCAGAGAATGCTGCTGTAGCAAATCTCGCAGTCGGAGAAAGCGGGCTGCTACTGCGACCGCTGCCTGCAGTACTTCAAGTATGCGCGATCGAGCTGCGAGGGTAGACGTGACATTTTTGACATCGGCTGACCAGGAACTCATCGAGCGTCACGCCCAGCAAAAAGCAGCGGAATTTTCTTCGGTCTCGGCAACTGATCGCAAAATGAGTGTTCTTGCTAGTCAGCGCGGCATCGAAAGTTTGTCGGCCTTGACGTATACCATGGTTGACCTCGACATAGTGAACAGTTTACTAAACGAACATTCTGCTTGCCGAGTATGCCGTGGTCAGTTGACCATCGAACGCGACACGCGTGAGTACGGCGTAGCCGTTAAGTTGAAGCTTCACTGCAGCAACTGCGGAGAAGTTGGTTCGAAATGGAGCTCTCAACGGGTTGGTGGCAGCAGTAACTGCAACCCGTTCGAAATCAACGTTCGCACAGCGCGTGCGGTTTAGAGCACCGGGAATGGTTAGACAGCTCTGAACGACATTTTTGCCGCTATCAGTGTTTCACATCGGGGCCTTCACACGAAAACGTACCAAGAGTACTTGAAAATGAAGCTTCAGCCAGCAGCAACGAGAGCTTGGGCCGAACATTTGACTAAGTGTGCCACAGTGGTAAAGTGCCTCTACAAGGACCTCAATTTCGGCAACCCCGGAAATATTGCCGTCTCTTTTGATGGGAGCTGGCACACAAGAGGACACACCTCTCACATTGGAACAGCCACTGCGATAGAAGTTTTTTCAGGTTATGTGCTAGACTATGTTGTGCTTTCTCATTCTTGCCTCGGCTGTGAATGTGGTCCAAAACCTGAGAAATACTCTGAATGGAAAGCCAAACAGTCATGCCAGAAAAATACCTCATGCAAGGCTGGCCAAATGGAAGTAGAGGTAGCAATAATTTTATTTCAGCGCTCTCTTTTGCTTCATAGGCCTCAGGTACACCACCATGCTTTGTGATGGTGACAGCCGGTCGTACAGCTGCTGTCAAAGAAGCTAGGTGTACAGCTTCACTAAATGTTGAAAAAGAAGACTGCTCGAACCATGAGCGGAAGCGCATGGGGACTGTGCTTCGGAACCTCGTGCAGGAGCACAAAGGGGACAGCAGCGAGCGCATCAGTGGCAAGGGCCGCCTCACAGGTGACCTCATCACAAAATTGACTGAGCTATTACGGCTGGGCTATAAAATCCCATTGTGGGAATGTGTATGAGATGCGCAAGGCTGTGTGGCATCCACTGACGATCATCATGTGACATCCACTGACGAGAAATCAAACCACAGCTTTCTGTCCACACGGCCCCGAGTCTTGCTGCAAGCATAATGCAGCCATGGCAAGGAATGAGCCCATCCCAAAAAGCAAGTACAATTTGCCAGAGGCTGTGAGCAATGCACTGCTGTCCCTGTTTATGAACGCTTGTCCGACAAGAAGCTCCTGCAGAGATGCACCAGAGCGAAGACGCAGCATGCGAATGAGGCCTTGCATTCGGTCATTTGGAGCCTCTCGCCAAAGGACAAAAATGCGTCAATGTTTGCATTTGAGACTGCCATGGCAGATACTGTTATGCGTTTCAACTTAGGGAACAGGGAATCTAGTTAGCTTATTTTGAGTGAACTGCAGCTAGATCAAATATACACAGGGAACCAGCGGGCGGTTGAGAAAGACTATCGCCGTGCCTGCGGCTCGGAGATGAAACGTGCATCTTCAGCGGCGTTCCAGGCAGCTGCAAAGACAAAGCACAAGCAAAAGCCTGCTTCAGACTACTCCGCAGGGGTTTTCTGAGTGATTGTAAATACAAGTGCTGTGGCTTTCATGCATGAAATTTTCGTTTTCACAACTTTTTTCAGTTTTTTGCGTTTTTCTCAAATACAGATTTTTGCATGTTTTGAATTTAGGATGAGCACTGTGTCGCTAATACTGATTCGATTTGATCTTTTTTTTTTTGTTTGAATGCTAGGGTATTGAAATGTGCAAGAAAACCTTGATAAAACTGTTTAAGGACATTGTAAAATTTTGAAATTTTCCAGAAATGACCAGTGAAAATTCAGAGCTAAGAGACTGCGACATAAACACTTCATAACTTTGGGTAATATTTAGATACTAGCATGAAATTGCACATTAGCACTATTTGAATATTCAGCAATATATAGGTTCAATTATAGCTCTTTTGATGCATTACTTTATATGCAAGTCACATCCCAAATTCATGAAATAAGAATAGTTCACTTTTTTTATTGATCTAAAAAAATGTAATTACATATTTTTAATCAGTGTACAAAGCTGAATATTCCCTAAAAAAATCATGTCTCTAGGACTAATACTAATATATTTCACTATCGGGTCCCATGTCCCTCCTTAAGAAGCAATACCACGTAGTACATTTCAGATTATGCTCATGTTTTTTAGGGTGTATATTCACCCCATTTACTGCCTCGCGCAATGAGGAAGCCAGGTGTCACCTCTCGAACACGCGGCGATGCCTTGCTGCTTGCGTGGATCGAATGCCCCCGTTCGCATGACGTAGTCCGTATTCAGGGCCAACACGTTGACCCAGTGTCCGTGGCACTGCAACGTCCTGCACAGAACACCCTAGGGAGCACAAATGGGGGGTACATGATTTAGGCAATTTGTGCTATGCTCAATTTGAGAAGTAATGAATACAAAAACACATATAGTGAGTAAATTTTAGACAAACTTTTATTTTTTCTTGCGAAACGTGTTGCTTGGGCAAATGTTACAGTTTGCTCGAGCTTCAATATAACGAAATATTGGTTATAACGAAGTAAATGAAAAATAGTCTTGTAATATGGATGCAGTATTAGAAATATACCTTTATAACAAATTTTCAGATGTAACAAACCTATTTCTGTGTGAGATGCAACTTTGTTATAATGAGGTGTGAGTGTACGTGAATCTATTGACAACTTGTGGTACTGTGAAAAAACACGCTAAAATATCAGCAGCAAACTTGTGAAAATGTCACAAGCTGTGCGTGGGTGCGCTTATGTATGCATAAAAGATGTACACTATGTGACACTGTTGTGGGTTGCAATACAATAACTTTACAAAGACAACCCACATCAGGCTGGTCCACGGCTGTAACTTTTATAAAAAGTGGCATCTTGTCAAGGAATGTCTCTCTAAAATACAGAGTGCAACTGGGCTTGATTAAATTTCTGAGGTGCACATCACATGCAGCTCAAAGGTGTGAATATGCCTTAAAAAGACACTTAAATAAAACAATGAATTGGCTGATGAGGTGTTCTCTCAGAACTCTAATGTCATTAATCTTACCATTATAAGTTTATTGGTAGAGGAGAAAATCAAAGTCAAAGTACCAGTTTTAAATTTCCTGCCGACATCTACACGCTTGACATCACGAATTCTGAACTGTTTTCGTCGTACTTGCCGACATTGGCTCGACGAAATTTTATATACTTGATACATTAAGTTTCTGGCCTTATCAGCACACATTGTATTTCATTTTATCTATCAGGAGCTACGCAGGCTTCAGTAATCACTGTCAAAAATTTGTGATGGCACGGCATTTGACGCAGGAGTTTCAAGGTGGCATTGCCACCCACATTGTCCCTTTGATCATTTTCTCGCTTTCCAAGCATCTTCTCCTGGCGAGCGCAGTGGCTTTGTAATTGTGAAAGGGTTTCCCTCTTCGGTGTTGCTTTAGGTCCATAGCACTCACAGTGTCGGCCCTCCAGACTTTGATAGTGCAGTCCTGGGAAGCGGTGTAGATGAGCCCTGTGCCACCCCAGCGAACGCAGGTCACCGACTGGACGTGGCCGGACAGGGTTAACCTCGTCTGTGCCAGCGTCGTATCCCAAATGCGTACAGTGCCATCTTTGCTGCTGCTGGCCAGGGCACGGCACTCCGCATTCCTGCGCAGTCAATAATTCCATTTCGAGCTTTCTAAAAGTAAGGCAAAAATAAATCTTACAAGATAATGTTCAGCATCAGAGACGAAGCATATTTAAGGGAAGACAGAACAACAGTAGTGATAGTCAAGACATTTTATATATCGAATTTTTCGCGATCAGTTTCCGTACAACTAGGGCAGCAGCAAAAAATATGCTCAAGGAAGAAAAAGTCTGTATAGAAAATATCATAATGTTGATGTTTTATTGAACCTTAATAATCAAATGGCACAAGGCAACGTTTCTAGATTACTCTGCGAGTTTCTCAATTGTCTGACTATGCTAAATCGACTCCACTCGCTTTTTCTTTTTCGATTTGCCTCCGAGACATAGTAGGTCGTGCTTTAGGTTCAAAAAAGAAAAAAAAAAAAACAAATCACAGGATAGAGGCTCATATGGTTGAGCATTTTTCAAAAAAGGATAGTGCACTAAAACACTTGGCTCCAGCAGCATTCAATACATGGCAACTCCTTATTTCTACTAACACGTATCATTACGTGAAGGACAGCACGTGAAAACTGGTTCTAATTATCAGAGAGGGGCCAGGAGCCAACCACAAAATAAAAATGCCTCATGATGCCACCACTTGAAAAAAGAAAAAAAGTCTGTATCACATCTAACAATGCAGACTGAGTGCTCTTCCATCTTTCGGGCATTATTGGGAGAGCAAATGCGCATGCCAAAATAAGACCTCTTCTCCCACTGCTCCTAAATAAAGCACTTCCACAAACCTGCAGCAAGAATAAATTACATAAATCAACAAGTGCATTTAGTTGTACAGATATGAGCTGCAAGGAATGCCACTTTTTGCATGCATGTGTGCATGTTAGTGTTCTTAAAGGGACAATAAAGAGCAAAATGATTGTTCACGTACTGGTAAGGTACAATTTTGAAATCCCGAAAACACTACTTTAGTGCGACATGACGCTTGGTAACCGAGAAAAACATGCCAGCAGAAAATACGGGAGGAGACGGCATTGTAAGATCCCCACACTAAACACCATGACGTATATTGTCAAGGTGTCTACTGGGTCCTGCATAGCTTATACTCGATAAAATCGAAACACACCGTCATATGTTGGGGCCACAGACTTAGCATACGAAGTTCAGGAACTTTTCATCGAGCCAACGTCATGAAAATACGAGAAATACATGTTGCGACTTGTTATGTCAAGAGCGGAGATTTCGGCGTGAAATTTAAAAATGAAACTTCAACCTTGATTTTCTTCACTAATAATGCACTTATGAGAGTGAAACTTATGGCATTCAATTTTTCAGAGTGCAGCTTATCATTCTAAACCAAGTCATTGTTTCTCTTTCATGTCCCTTTAAAGGCAAATGATAATTAAAGTGAAAGATCAATGTTTGGTAATGTCTAAAACATCAATATTATCAGCAGCAGTGCTCTGCTAATCGAGGAATTACGGTAAATGTACGACACCACATGTGCCACGAGTGGGACATTTTGAAATGATAACAATGACGCCAGAGCCCCCAACTACAATTACGATACACTAGTAATCAAACCAGCTGCAGTAAAAAAAGAATCCTTCTGTGCATTACAACATGTAATAAAATTATGCTTGTCCATTTCTGTATGACTTAAAAAAGAAAACTGCCTGATGTTACAATGGAGAAAGACGCAAGTGGATTCGAAATTTCCATTTTCGCCTGGTTAGGCTGGATACATACTGAAATATAGTCTGTGCCATCCAGCCTATGGCTGTTGTTGCTGCTGTGGCTTGCTCCTGCTACTTTCTCTCTACTGCTACTGGTGTCGGCGACTGTGCAGTAAAGGCGGGACAACATTGGGCATGGCAACTGTGATGTACGAACGGTCCACTTTTAAAAAAGACGGGTGGTTTGAAATGCACTGACGCGATGCCGACCTCTAAACCAAACTTTCATTTCAAAATAAGCATTCCTTGGCGCATGAAAGTAGCCCTAAGAGGTTCCTGGATCGCTATTTCAGCAATCAATGTCAACATTAATATTTGCCCTTAGTGTCCCTTAAAGGAACAGAGCCATCAGCTCACACATGAATATGGCAGTTGAATGGCACTTGAATGGCAGTTCGTTCCGAGAGTACACAGCTTTTTTTTTTGAGTGTGTGTGTGTGGCAGTTGAATCAATCCATTGACCTACGTAGGTCTTACACTAAAGGAGTTGTCCCAGCAGAGGGCTCCAAACAAATTTTAACCACATGGAGCTCCCTCACATAAGGCTCAATTACAAGTACACAAGGGCTCTTGATTTGGATTTGAACCAGCACAAAAATGTAGTCGATTCAGCAAGGAGTTACACATTTAAGTTTGTGGTGAGTAGCAGAATCTCATAGTCGCTAAGCTATAGCAGCAGTGCAAACTAGACGGTGCAATTACTAGCGTGCCACCATTTCCTCCCAACTGAAGCGCTCTCCGCCAAATAAATAATACTACGGTCAAATACTATATAGTATGATGCAACAAAAACACAGCAGGACTCACAGGTGCAAAGGCTCCCAACAGAGGCAAGTTATCCACTTCTTGTGCCCAGCAAGGGGTCGTCCAAGTTGCTTCCCAGACTCTGGATCCCAAATAAATATCTGCAAATAACAAAAACACATGCTTTCACTGCTCTGAAGAGCCAATGAGGGAATAGGCTATGTTTTTCTGCTTCCACATCTAAAAGTACCAATATGAAAGAGAATGAAGACATCTCAATTAAAGAAAAGGCTTTTTCTGAATAGTGCTGCATCGGCCTGGTATTCAAGCTTCCATCTTCTACACTCAAACCTCGATACAACGGAATTCAAATATAACAAAATATTGGTTTTGATGGCGTAAACTAAGAATAGTCCCGCAATAGATACCGTAATGAAAACATATACTTATAACAAACTTCTGGATATAACAAAATTATTTTTGTGCAAAATGCAACTTTGTTATTATGAGATATAAGTGTATATGCAATCAACCAAGTAGTGTATGCTTTCGTTTGCAATGGTCAGGACTTTGTTATGAAAATCAATATTTAGTCATATTTTGTGATCTGTACAGTTGCAATTCCAAGCACAAATGTGGGTTTTTCAAAGAATGCAAAGAAGTGTTGCTTTGGCAGTAAAAACGTACAGTTGCAATTCTAAGCACAAATGTGTGTTTTTCAAAGAATGCAAAAAAGCGGTGCTTTGGCAGTAAATGCCACTTGAAGACCAGTTGCCATCTTCGTATGTTTCCTTTTGTGTGGAACCACACGTTCTACATACTTGCGAAAATGTCACAAACCAGGCCGTTTTTGCATCCAGATGCCAGCTTCTTCCCGTCTGGGGCCCATGTGACGCAGAGAACCCAGTTCTTGTGCGCTAAGAGAAATGAAAACATAATAGTCATTATTTGAAAATAAACCACAAAACTTTACAGCAGATGGAAGCCTGCAAGTACCTTTGCAGGTATGATGCGGAGTCTGCGTGTTGAGGTCCCAGAATCGTACAGTCGTGTCACCAGAGCCACTTGCCAAGTGTCTGTTCAACAGCATTGAGTACAAGTAAGAGACAATGTGGCATTGCATAATCCCTGTAAATTGAACCAGTTGTGTAACAGCCACAATACTATTTGTATATGCGGTCATTTCATGCTAAATGTCCCAGACATTTTGGCGACCGTCTCAAATGTATTTGAAAAAAATATATACTGCTGATTTATTGCATTTAAGACAGTAAATTACTCGGTCTAAGTTCCGTAATTTACCAGCCGTGGTACCTTAAAAGCTGACAATGTGCTGCTAATTAGGAAGGCACAACTGGCCACATTTTAATGAAAAACCCCAAGTACTACTTAGATTAGGGTGCATATTAAAGAACTTCGGGTAGCAGAAATGCACTCGAAGCAATCTCCTCTATTGTGCCTTATAATCATGCTGTGGGTGTGCTATGTAGAACACCAGAATTTTTTCCTTCGACAACAAAAATTTCAACCTGCTGCTTTCTGCACTATCGCATAACTCTGGCAACAGGTACTGATTTGCTGAGCGTCCCATCTCTCAAATAGAAACTTGTATGGAAAAGACCACAACTAGTTTTTAACACAATACTTCGATGGGCTAATTGGTCGTCGTCTATAGTAACTTTTAGTGGAACAAAATGACACAATAACGACGGGAAAGCGATGTGTTCATGTGTTGTTCTCTTGAGCCAAAAGCTGCTACAGTAAAAGCTCGTTAATTCAAACTTACAGTTAATTCAAACTGACACCTTGGTCCTGGTACAGTCCTACGTATTTCTGTGGGGAAAACTCCTAATAATTCAAATGCAGAATGGTACAAATGAAGACCAGAATGATACATTCAAACTCCGAGTACGTGGCTTTCGTCGTTTTTTGCAGAAGTCGGCCCAGCCCAGAGTGCTCACGATGTTTTGCAAAACCAAATCAAACCAAATGTACAAGAGATGCAAAACAATGAAACAGCAGCATTTTTCAGCAGATGAGAATTGGGACATTGTGCTTATTACCTTAATGTTGATTGTGTTAACTCTGCAATATAATTAAACGTGTTTCAAAGCATAAATAGAGTCACTCCTCACACAATTGCATGTTGGCGCTGCTTTCTGGCTAACCAGTTACTGATCCATTAGTTCAGCCAGCTGTTAGAGCTCCATAAATTTTATTTAAAAAATCACCTCCCGGGAGCATGTACCAGCCCTAATTCACGATAATAAGTCCAGAAGTGGCCTCTTCCGGTTCCGTAGGGCAGTGGGGCGCAACGTCTGTTCATTCTTGTGTCTGCCCTCTTATTCGAACTGTGCTTAATTTGAACAATCTTATGGTCACCTTCAAGTTCGAATTAACAAGCTTTTACCATATGCAGTTGTTTGTTTCCCTCTTTGCACAAAACAAGTCATAATATTGCAACTGTAGCGAAGCCTCCGAACTATGAAATGGGTCGAACTCTTGCGTACCTTCTAGTGGGGCTACCCAACAAGGACGCCGCTCGCGCTGAGAGCCCGTGCTTTGCTGTGACTGTCGCCATTGCATATTCTCGCTCGTTGCCGGCTAATAAACGCCTTAACAATTTGGTGGAGAGTGCTGCGATCCCTGTCTATGCCTTTGGAGCTACGATCACGTACCCTGCCATCTACTATGTACCAAGACGCTTCTCAGCAAACGCCTCCTCCAATGCCACCCCCTTGTCCCGGTGTCCCCAGAATCCGCGATCCACCCATCTTCACTGGCGCTGATGGCACTGACGTGGAGGACTGGCTCGCCATTTACGACCGCGTGAGCGTCCCCAACAAATGGGACGAGGACGGCAAGCTGACAAACTTGGTGTTTTACCTTGCCGGTGTCGCCAGTTTGTGGTACAACAACCACGCGTCCGATTTTGCCACCTGGTCCGATTTCAAGACCGCAATCGTCAACGTCTTCGGCCGCCCTGCTGTTCGCAAGCTGCAAGCCGAGCAGCGCTTGCGTGAACGTGCTCAGGAGGCTGGTGAGTCATTCACCAGCTATATTGAAGATGTCCTGGACCTATGCAACAAATCCAATCACACCATGTCCGAGTCTGACAAGATCCGAAACATCATGAAAGGCATCGACGATGATGCCTTCACGATGCTGCTCGCCAAAAACCCCGGCACGGTGGCTGAGGTCATCACACTGTGCCAGAGCTACGAGGAGCTCCGCCGGCAGCGTTCGATGACCCGACGCTCCCCACCACGAGCTGCAACGCTTGCTGGCTTGGAGGCCAGTTGTGACCAAGTGGCGTTGATGGCAGAACTGAAGTGCTTTATCCGTGAGGAAATCGCGCGTCAGTTCTCCCTCCTGCCCTTTTCCCACCAACCTGCTGTTCAACAATCGGCTACTACCCTTCTCCCTCCCATCCGCCGAGCGATTGAACAGGAAATAGCGGAGGTAATGCCTGCTTACCACCCCCAACAGCCTCCGGCTCCTGCGTCCCTGAGTTACGCGCAAGTGGTCGCCAGGCCACCCCAAGTCGTTCAAGCACCCGCCCCTCTGACCTACGCTGAAGCTGCTGCACGACCTCCGTCCGTTGCAGCGAGTATGCCCGCTACGTATGTTGACGTAACCCCTCAGCCTCAGCTTCAGTCCACCATGCAGCCACCGTTCCGTCCATCAGCCCTTGCGACATGGGTGAGACCTACCCCGGTGAACAGATGGCGCACACCCGACAACCGGCCCATCTGCTTTGCCTGCGGTTACGCCGGTCACGTGGCCCGTTATTGCCATCGCGTACAGCCGGCTCCAATTTCTTCACCTGTTGCTGGCCAACTCAGCCGTCCTTATCGCGAAGAACCGCCGTCTATGCCCCTCGATCTCGCCCAGGTCTATCTCGAAGATCACCGTCTCCACGACGCCGTTCCCTGTCTCCCATGCGGCCAAGTGCGGCATCTCATGAGCGGGAAAACTAGTCGTCGCAGTCCCTGAGGCAAGGACTGCGACGCTATCGCAATGTGAAAGCCCTCAGAGCAGCCCCTCGAATGTCATTGACGTGCTTGTAGACGGTGTTTGTGCATCGGCTCTTATTGACACTGGAGCTGCCGTATCAGTTATGGACGAAAACTCTGCCGCTTACTTCGAAAGTGACGACGCCACTTTCTGGGTTATCCCTTCGTACTGCGAGTTTGCACCGGATTCATCCTACAGCAGGGTGCACAGCTCGCGTTGTCATCCAGGACGTTCTGTATGTCGCCCAGTTCATCGTCATTCAGGCATGCTCTAATGACGTCATCCTGGGATGGGACTTTCTCTCCCGCCATGACGCCGTCATCCATTGTGCCGCTGCCGAAATTGAGCTCTCACCCTTCTCGCATTTGACGCCAGAAGACAGTCCCCCGACACTGAGCAAGATTCTAACGAGAGACGATACAACAGTGCCTCCAAACTCGACGACGGCTGTGTCTGTCTACTGCGCTAGTCTCTCCGACACCATTGGACTTGTTTCGCCATCTGACCGCGCTTGCAGCAGGAAAGGGTTGCTAGTACCTTTCGCGACCGTGCAGGTCAACCAGGGCAACACTGCTATTTTTGTAAGCAACCCGTTCCCGTACGCTGTTACCTTGCTTCGAGGGGAATGTCTCGGCAGAGTGGAACCAGTCGACGACGCACAAGTCCTGGACGTACCCGATGACACGCGCGCTCCCAGGTCGTGTACCATCAATGCTGTTTCCACTTCTGATTCGTCGTCTGCTGATGTATTTGGCCCCTCCATCGCTGACAACCTTACGGCCGTACAGCGTTCCCAACTTCTGGACCTGTTACAAGAATATCGTTCTTCTTTCGATGTCGGGCGAAGTTCTCTCGGTCGCACGTCCGTTGTTACGCATCGCATCGACACTGGTGACCATCCACCTTTACGGCAACGTCCATATCGCGTGTCGCCTGCTGAACGTCGAGTAATTAATGATCAGGTTGACGATATGCTCCGACGCGACGTTATTCGGCCCTCCGACAGTCCATGGGCGTCTCCTGTTGTTCTTGTTGCGCAGAAAGACGGTTCTGTGCGGTTCTGTGTAGACTACAGACGGCTCAATAAGATCACTCGCAAGGATGTTTATCCACTGCCACGCATCGATGACGCGATTGACAGCCTTCATGGAGCCGATTTTTTTTCTTCTCTCGATCTGCGCTCGGGGTACTGGCAAGTACCCATGGCTGACGACGCTCGACCAAAGACCGCCTTCGTCACGCCAGACGGCTTGTACGAGTTTAACGTCATGCCGTTTGGTCTATGTAATGCACCTGCGACCTTTGAGCGCATGATGGACACCATTCTGCGCAACTTGAAATGGTACACGTGCTTGTGTTACCTCGACGATGTCTTTGCTCCTGATTTCTCCACGCATCTCCAACGTCTGAAAGAAGTTTTCGCACGTGTGAGCAATGCCGGCTTACAACTAAATCTGAAAAAGTGCCGCTTTGCAGCACGGCAACTCACCATACTGGGGTACATCGTGTCCAAAGACGGCATTCTTCCTGATCCTGCCAAGCTTCAGGCCGTGGCCGAATTCCCCAAACCTGCATCTGTCAAAGAACTGCGTAGTTTCGTGGGCCTGTGCTCATACTTCCGACGCTTCATACGAAATTTCGCCACGATCATATCACCGCTGACGAAGCTCCTTGGAAGCAACGGGCCCTTCAATTCGTGGTCATCCGAGTGCGACGACGCGTTCGCGAAGCTCCGCCATTTGTTGACGTCGCCTCCCATTCTACGCCACTACGACCCTACAGCCCCAACGGAGGTGCACACGGACGCCAGCGGAGTAGGCCTCGGCGCTGTCCTGGTGCAGCGAAAACCCGGATTCCCTGAATATGTCGTAGCATATGCAAGCCGTACGCTCACGAGAGCCGAGAAAAACTACACCGTCACGGAGAAAGAGTGCCTGGCGATCGTCTGGGCTCTTACAAAGTTTCGACCTTATTTGTATGGTCGCCCATTCGATGTCGTCACCGACCATCATGCACTATGCTGGCTTTCATCATTGAAGGATCCCTCAGGCCGTCTCGCCCGTTGGGCTCTTCGCTTACAAGACTACGATATCCGCGTGCTGTACCGCAACGGACGCCAGCATGCTGACGCCGACGCCCTCTCGCGCTCCCCTCTGCCTGAAGGTGATGTGCTCTGCTCAGTATCCTCGGCTGCTGTTTCTGCCATTGATGTTGACATCATCGCTACCGAACAGCGAAAGGATAATTGGATCGGCCCGCTCATCGACATGCTTTCTGACCCATCCGCAACGCCATCCACGCGTGCATTGCGTCGTCAAGCTCGCCATTTCGCCATTCGTGACGGCCTCCTACACCGACGCAATTACGACGCCGACGGCCGGCAGTGGTTACTCGTGATACCCCGCAGTCTGCGGTCAGAGATATGTGAATCATTCCATTCTGATCAGCAATGCGCGCACTCTGGGGTATTCAAAACCTACCATCGCATTCGACAACGCTACTTCTGGCGCGGGATGTACCGCTATGTGCAGCAGTTCGTTCGCTCTTGCCTCACTTGCCAACGCCGTAAACCGTCAGCCCACATGTCGCACGCCAGTCTACAACCGTTACCTTGCCCTGACCGTCCCTTTGGGCGCGTAGGTATCGATTTGTATGGACCACTTCCTCTGACGTCGGCTGGTAACCGCTGGGCCATCGTTGCCGTTGACCATTTAACGCGATACGCCGAAACCGCCGCTCTCCCTGCGGCTGCTGCGCGCGATGTTGCGTCCTTCCTGCTGCATCGATTTATACTGCGCCACGGACCACCCCAAGAGCTTCTCAGCGATCGAGGCCGTGTCTTCTTGTCGGAAGTCGTCGAAGCCATTCTGACGGAGTGCCATTCTGTCCACCGCAAAACTACTGCTTACCACCCACAGACGAATGGCCTCACCGAACGCTTTAACCGCACCCTCGGCGACATGCTTTCTATGTACGTCGCTGCCAACCACACTAATTGGGATAATATACTGCCCTTCGTCACCTACGCCTACAACACCGCCCCTCAGAGCACGACTGGTTTTTCACCTTTCTACTTGCTGTACGGAAGGCACCCGTCGCACACCATGGACACGATACTCCCGTACACGCCGGATCCATCTGAGTGTACACCTATTTCCGAGACAGCCAGGCTTGCTGAAGAGTGTCGCGAGCTTGCCAAGACTTTTACGACGCAAGATCAAGAGCGGCAGAAGAGTATCCGTGATGGCTCCACCACTTCTGAGCCCATGTTCCTTCCTGGTGCGCTTGTATGGCTCTCGACCCCAACCTCTGCCGCTGGCCCCTCTTCCAAACTACGTCCCAAATACGAAGGCCCCTACCGTGTCATCGAGCGCAACCTCACCCGTCAACTATCTGATCGAACCCGTTGAACAATCTTCGGACATGCGCCGCCGTGGGCGAGACATCGTCAACGTGGAGCGCCTGAAGGCTTATTATGACCCGCTAATAATAACAAGCTGTTAGGTCGCCAGGCGGCTCCCTCTTCGACCCCGGGGTAATTGTAGCGAAGCCTCCGAACTATGAAATGGGTCGAACTCTTGCGTACCTTCTAGTGGGGCTACCCAACAAGGACGCCGCTCGCGCTGAGAGCCCGTGCTTTGCTGTGACTGTCGCCATTGCATATTCTCGCTCGTTGCCGGCTAATAAACGCCTTAACACAACAAACAAATAAGGACAATCCAAGCTTGGCAGAGGTCTCACCTCCCATCTGGACTGAAGGCCGTCACGAGCACAGCTTCTTCATGTCCAGGGATTGAGGCAGTGCAGCGCGTAACTGCCTGCACCTTGAATAACGCCTGCGGTGCGTACACAATTTCCACGACCTTCTCAGGCTCCAGAGGTTCGGTCTTTGCAAGCAGCGTCTTGGCCAAGGACTCCCTGATCTCGACACCGTCCACGAAAAATAGGTACGGCACTTTTTCCTCCTTCGGGGGAAAAAAAAAAAGAAAGATGAATTTCCAGGCGCAGGTTTGCCTTTTACACCAGTATGCGAAATCTCTCACTGGCTACCGCTCTTACAATACATCAGTCACACAGCACCTACAATTTAGTACAGTGCTCAAACATTAAACTTACATAATCACAACACTGCACAAAAAACACAAACACCAGAAGGAAACACTTATAACATGCATTCATAAACTAGCAACTGAATTTCATTTGAAGAAAGATGAGAACATATATATAGAAAGAAGCCAATCTCTCCATTATAATGTTATAACCTCTCTAGCGTGACATAAAGATGATCTTTTCTTGCCACAGTTGCCACTGATGCACAGCTAGTGCATGTGTATCCTGCATGAGCAATGTAAAAGCAGGGTTCATAGTACCTGAGTGAAACAAAATTCAAGGGTTTTCAAAGACTTTCAAGGACCTAAACACACTTGAAACCGTAAAAATTGAAAGCACCACTTTCTACAGGATAAAAATTTGTACTTTATTTTATTTGTACGATTGGCACCATGAACGCACTCAAGTTACCATGGACTGTATAGTCGGTTCTGTGTTCTCAATGTGTTTTGCACTTTTCATGTGACTTTCAGGGGCAGACTCGACTATTGATGACACGTCGAAGCTCTTCCCACATGGGAAGACTTCGCCTGATGCGAGTTTGACGTATCCGGTGCAATCCGCTCCCTATGAGCAGCAATGCATAACCAAAATGGCTGGAATTAGCACTTGCCCGGAATAGTTACACCACAAGCGACGCAACTGGGAATATCCGCGCACACTTGCATAGTCTGCACGAAAAAGCCAGGCTTAGCTCTGTTGTTGCTGCCGTAACCACATAAGGGCTCCCACAACGACAGTGTACTAACAGAGTACACTGTACTAGTACAACAGTACAATATGACTAGAGAAACGAATTGGATTGGATGAACTGTTGGCTTGAGAGCACATAATTGCCAGGGGCACAGAATAAACCCACCAAATTATGGCTGAACGAACTTGTACAGACGAAATACAAGGATTTCAAACAAATTTAAGAGTTTTCAAGGCCTTGAAAATGCCATTTTGAAATTTAAGGGTTTCAAGGACCGCTACGAACCCTGAAAAGGCTTTAAGGATATCTTCTCTACAGACCGTGCCAAAAAATTTGGTTGGATTAACGATCAGATGGCAGTTGTAATGCTTAAGGTCTGACCACACATACACAATGCAGCATGTCAGCACGTGGTATGTATACACGATGCCGTGCCCTGTCCTTGTAGATGGGCAAAGGTACCTAGTTTACAAGCCACGAACCGCAGCGCATACGTGAGGTCAAGCCTTTACAATGTTCTGCCTGCATTGCTGTTCACTGCCCAGTTGTGCTCTTGCACCTGTCATCAAAGCACGCACTTTTTTACTATTTGCACCTTGCTGCAACTTAGGGGAACTTCATAAACATGTTTTTTTGCACTGACGGCACTGTACTGCATATCTCTAAGTACAAAGGTATGGTTTTACTTTGTTCACCATTGGGCAATTCGCATACTAGTTTCCTGGAAACAAGATTAACATTATGTTTTTCAGCAACTTACTTAAGATGTGTAAAATCCTATGCGTTTTGATTAGGAACGTTACACTACTTAGCCCACATCAAGCTCTTCCCACAAATTAACAGCCATGAATCTATCCAATACTATTATTCTGATGTTTAGTCAATGAAATGAAGCCTTTGGCAACAGCTAGCATAGTGCATCAACAAAAGTACCTTCATTGCAGTGTGCCTCTTCCAGCAATTGTTTTCCCAAGCTATCATAGTTGTTACCAGTATAGATGGATCATTTCATTAAAGTTGTTTGCGCCTTGATGCCGCACCACCATATACAAGGACTTGTTTATGCCTCCTCTCCACTACCACTGCTATTTATAATATATCCTAGGAGCTTCAAATAAAGTATCAATGCAGCATTTGTTCATTTTCTAACTTTCACCAAAGTGTAGACACTTGGGCATTTTCTCAGTCCAAACAGCACCCCAAGTGGAGAACACAGAAATCAAAACTGGTGGTTCTTGGACTCCGAAATTGTCTGCCGCATGCCGGTAGGCAATCATGAAGGCCAGTGTTTGCGCCTCTCTTTGGGACAAACATGTGCATGTTTGTGGCACCAGATGTTACTTGGCCCGTACATGTCGCATGCTCGAGTACCTTTCAGCAAGCTGCATGAGGATGGACTGGACGCGACGAATCTAAGGGCTGGAAAAAACCTATGGCTTTATCAAAGACACCCTCTCCACCAGAACTGCGGCTAAGTCGGCGGTCAAGGTCCGACTGCGAGTCAGAGAATCCAAAGAGACTCGATGGAAAAAGGCTATGTAAGCCAAGTCCTTACCTTGAGTGTTCAGGACTCATAAGGAGAACGTCAGTTGGTAGGATTTCTACGACAACAGTTGTGGCAGCAGCCTCCTGTTCGAGGCGAGAGCTGGGGCTATTCTTAAATACAACAGAAGGTTCGATGATGCTGTTGTCAGCAGCCAGTGCACAGTCTGCGGTATGGAGACCGAGATGCCAGAACACCTTGTTTTTTGCTGCAGAAGTCTTCGCACTGCACCAGAGGAGGTCGCAACCCTTCCACGGGCGCTGGAGTTTCTCGATGCAGATGACAACTGTGACGGAGACGATACGCGGTGGCAGTCACGAAAAGGCAGCTTTCTGAGTGGTGGGCGATTGTACGCCGAACTTAAGGCCTGCTATGTGCAGGCCTCCTGCCTCTGGCGAGAGTAGGTGTTTCGTTTTTTTTTTTTTTTCATTGAGGCCAGGACACTGAGTGTATTCCCCGTTGCAAAGGGGCAGGCCATCGCTACATCATCGTAACGTTTTGGCCACCAAAAATCATGGCACGCGCCTCCTCGAAGCCGATGCGCATGCGCGGACTACCTAACCGGTAAAGGCCCCTTGTGTTCGTAATGCCAACTACTGTTCACACTAGCATGAGATTCTGCGGTCATACTTATATGACGATTCAATCAGCTGTCGCGATCGTGTAATGCGTGCTGAATCTCCGGCCATCGCGGGATGTCACGCACGCAACGCGCGTTCTATCAGACCTACAACACGAAAGTGTTCTAAGTGAACTCACAGTTTCCAAAAAGGCGTTGCAGAGTAGCTGAAGCTTTTCCACCGTGACGTCGACAGGGAGGTCGAACGGCGCTCCAGCATTTTCTCCCGACTCCGATTTGAACTGGGCCAGGACTCGCTCAACCGTCAGCTTCGGCTCCGGCTGTTGATCTGCAGATTAAGAGCGTAATGTCTACAACTACACCTGTCAAAGCGTCTGAAACGGGTATGCAAGAAGCCTTACCTCGTTTTCGCTTCATGTTGCTCACGTTCGGCGAGCTATCACGGAATATGTTGCAGTAGCCGACAAAAAGAAGCCACTTCGATCGCACGTACACCGCTATTTGAACCCGGATATCATCTACCTGTCATATTGCCAGTAGACACGACCTTTTTTTTTTTTTTTCGTGGAACAGCCTGAGAGAGATGAGAAACACCGTCAAACCTCATACACGTGGTCACATCGGCCAGCGCTTACAGCGGCAATCACCACATGATCAAAACAAATAAACTGAGCATGCGCACAGCATTACGTCATCGCGCAAGTATGAACACAATATAGTTCAGGAAAGTATTCAAGCTTCTTTCATAGAAACACTTCTGATTGCGGTGAAACGTAGGCATAATGTTAAAATACGCTTTATAAGCATTGTTACAAATTCTAGAATGATAAACACTCAGGCGACATTCCGGCAACAACACGTAGTGGCGTAGTGTTACAAGCTGTGCACATGCTGTGCAATGCACGGAGGAAGGAACCCTCCTCAATTTTTTTCAGTGCCCGGGCGAACGCTCTCATCAGGCCGTCGAGCGCGCGCTCCTCCTCCGCTCGCCACTGCCGCATGAAAGCGCTGCACGAGTAGAGTACGTAAAGTGCCTACGCGGCAGGCACTACAGTGGCGGAGGAAGCAGTACAAAAGGTGGTAGCACCCTGAGCGGGGGCACGTGCATTGAGGCACCCTAACCCCCGTTTAGCCTCGTAACCTATAGCCATTATTTCGATACTTCAGAACTTTGTCCGGACTGCCACAATCGCAGTGATTTTAACCACGTGCTCTGAAGGTGCCCCTCTTTACAATGAAAAACTGAAGAATTTTTCGAAAATTCCTTTCATTTAATGCTCACGAGTGCGGTTCTCATACAACAACTCAAGGCTGTCCAGAAGGCCCCCGATGCGGCGGTGAGGCTAGGTCGCCCCGTTCCTACGTGGGAGAGGCCCGTGACCCTACCCCTATAAAACGTGGGTGGAATTCTTCAGGACCCCAATAAAGTTTTTCATCCATCCATCCAGTCCCCTTATGGATTCACCTAAGACGACTTGTTTGTTTGTAGCTTGGAATCCGTGACACATATCCACTGGAGGGGATTGGCCAAGAAAACATATAGTATCTTCTAGATGGTAACTGCACTGTTGCCTACAAAATAAAAAAATGATGTACATGTAAAACAATATAAAAAACAAAAACTCAGAGAGTGAGGAAAAAATCAATAAAATAATTGCTAGTATAATTACTATACCTTGATTTTGGGAGCCGACTAGACGGCTGAGTTGGCCAAACCCGATTAATTAGGGATGTATGTCTCATATTCATTCACATTTCGAAAATTACTTCCTCGCTCTTCTTTTTTTTTGAGTATTCGTTAAAGTGGGCGTTATGTTGAAATACGTTTAGTGTCTTGAATGAAATTACACACCGCATCAAATGCATCTTTGTGGCGATTTACCAAAAGGGAGGCACTAAAATTTAGAACTGTTTATGTGGTTAAATTCAAACCTAGCTTCGCAAGTGCAATAGCTAGAAGTATTTTCCCAATTACTGCGGAATTGCGACATGACACAAAATAATGTTCTATAGTTTCCGAGTCTTCGCAGAACGGACAAAGATAGGAGAGTGTCAGAGCAGCTCTGTGAAATAAAAATTAAATGGGGAACATGGCACCGGAATCGGTAGATAATAACTTAAAGATTTGCCGACGAACTAAGATGGCCATGGAAATTTGAGACGACTGAAAGGCAGAAACAATCCTCGTTTTCTTTCGATTCAATGCAATGGACATGTTTCCTATACTACCCTGTGGGGTATTTCTGCGCCCAACATGGTTTTCTTACTGCATCAAGGATTAGAGACAAAGCTAACTTTCTGCCCCTCAGCTGGTTATGCACTGCCCTGATGATCGGCCCATTTCGATCTAGTGAAGATGCGATATTATGCCGTCAAGTTATGTGACCCTTGCGATACGTCACAAGCATTTATGATATCATATGATGACGTTCTCACGTAATTATGATTTCTTGCACCACTCGTGTTCACGCCTGCCGTCGTGAAAAAACGCCGGACGCCGCTGGGTGATCAATTTTCGCTTTTGATGAGTTAAAGCTATCGCCTTAATGCACTCACTGTATGGCTGTAGCTCCGTGAAATTGCAGTTTCCGCTGGTATTCGGGGGAGCGTGCTTGCAGTAATCACTAATCAGGCGGAAGAATTGATCTTCTAATAAATATTCGTACTACACTCTAATATGTAGCCGTCATTTACAACCGTAATATTTTATAGATTATAAGTAGTGGCAGCTGAAGACTGCCCGTGACGTTTGGCAACACGACAATTAGATATTTTTAGATACTGACAAGCTCAAGCAACTGACCACAGACTGCATTTTTCATGAACGTTTCTCACCTAGGCTCAAGTTTATAGTTGGCATTAGACTTCAACCTTTAGCAGCGCCTGTTCAAAACACAGGCCATGATCGCAGAAATCGCGCCGCATACGGAGCTGTTCTAGTTTATTTCACGGGGATTTTATTATTTAAGCTCTGAAATGGTGAAATCACCTACCGCAGTTCCTCATTTTCTGACACTTGCTTTTTTTCGGTGGCAACACATGTCATGCTTTGGGAAGGGAACGGATGATGACCTATATCCCTGGAAGCACTGTAGTGGCATTTTGTGCTATTTGGTGCATAAACTCTAGGCTTGCGCATAATGTGCTACGCCACTAGACAGTAGCAAGCATCGGTGAACATTAGGCACCCAAGCTATCAATAGTAGCTCCTGGCAAAGGCTTCTCTCAAAAATCGACTTTCAGTTAGTCAAAAAAGTAACCCTCAGTAAAACGAACGCAGCGGTGACAAAGCGATCTTCTGCGGATTACTCGCATGAGCTATCTGGTATCCACCTAGCACACGATGCGCGAGCGCCTTGATCAAATATTCGCGAATGACTCAAGCCTTTGAAATGAGCGGGACGTCCAAAACAACAAATGCTTCGCGATTTTCATTCCAAGTTTCCATTACACCTTAAAAAGTGCGATTACAGCCGAAAACCGAGCCGTCTAGCAGCTTCATAGGCAGCCGCGGTATTCGTTTGCGCGAGGGACCACGCAACGGCATCTCTACTCTAGCTGCGGCGCCTGGCGGCAAAACACCGCACTAGCACTGACGGCTGCTTTCCTTTGAAATCCACTCCTTCGCCCGGGCACTGAAAAAAAAAAAAAAAAAAAAATTGAGGAGGCGCTGTTGAAACTGTTTCCATTCGTTGTTGCACCGATTGCACACTACTGCTTTGTGTCAGCTATGACATCCACCGCGACCGCAGTTTGACATGTGAGCGTTCTTGCGCGAGTTACAGTTTACTGTTCGGTACTACAAAATGTCGCTAATCGCGACGCCCAGACAGGCTCCGTTGGAGATACTGGACGACCTGTGTTCTCGCTTCATCATCAACATACCCGAGGAAGAGCGCGAAGACCCGGTTCGGCTATGCTTTCAAGTGGAGCTCGCCTACTGGTTCTACCTCGACTTCTACTGCCCCGAGAACCCCACGTGCCCGCAGTGCAGCATGCGGGAGTTCACGCAGATGATATTCCATCACGTGCCTTCGCTGCGGGAACACCTGCCCGATCTAGACCATATCCTGAACAGATGGAAAGAGTACAAAATGGCTGTTCCGACCTTCGGTGCTATACTGATCGACGAAAGCCTCGAGAACGTCCTCTTAGTGCAGTCTTACTGGGCTAAGGCGACCTGGGGATTCCCCAAAGGCAAGGTACGATGAAAGGCTGTGGGCAAGGTTCTGTTTGGCGTTGCAGGCTGGCCTTTCCTTTGAGCAGTCGTTGTTATAAGATATATATAGTTGGGCGTCCATTAGCAGCTCTGCGGACGCAGCCTGCCAGCCATTTCCTATGGCCGGCTGCGTCCGCAAAGCTGTCGCGGACGCTCATATAAATCCGCCAATTGCTGGAGCCGACGTATCGACAAAGAGACCCGACTGCGTCAGCTGCCTCTTTGACAAAGGAAGGTCCGCAATCTCCATTGATAATATTAAGGGTTCTTAAGTGGGGTAGTTTCTTTGTTTAGTGTTCAAGCCTTGATTTGCCGCTGGACCTCTGTCTCGATTGGGCTGTGACTTGTGTCATTCCTAAAAATTCGCAGACACGGATCTTTGTTATAGTTACCAATTCCCCTGCGACAAGTTTTTTTTTTTCCAAAAATAAAGCTACTTGTATCGCTCCGCGAGAAATGGAGGGAGCTTTGTAATTTCTAAATGCGAAGCATTTCTTGGTGAACCAATCTATAGTCAGGGTCAGGCAGAGCACATAGGGCGTAGGCGAGATAACCATTGGTCATAAAGAGCAGCCAACTGGATTCGAAGTGAAGGCAAGCATGCAATGGGTAGACAGAGAGTAATGTGGGCAGATGTAATTAAAAAGTTTGCGGTTTATAACATGGCCACAGCAAGCGCAGAACTCTGTTGATTCGTAAAACACGGTAGAGGTCTTCGCCCTGCAGTGGGCACAGTCATGCTGATGGGGATGATCTATCCCAGTTCTCGTGCTCGTTTCATCATTCATTGTTTCACTCTGGTTCTTGTAGGTGAATGAGGAAGAGGAACCACACATCTGTGCGGCCCGTGAAGTGCTAGAAGAGACCGGTTACGACATCACCCCGCTTCTCTCCAAGAACGAGTTCATCGAGCGCCAGATTCATGACCACGTGACACGTCTCTACATCATAGCCGGCGTTCCCATGAGCACGCAGTTCAGCCCGCGGACGCGCAAAGAAATCGGAAGCATCGAGTGGTTCGCCATTGCGGACTTGCCGGCCAGCAAGCGCGACCAGTCGCCCCTGAGCTCTCTGGGACTGAACGTGAACGCCTTTTTCATGGTGATGCCTTTTGTGAAGAAAATCCGCAAGTGGGTCTTCAACAACAGACACCGTCTGCTGCAACAGCAGCAGCCGAGTGAGGGCATGCCTTCCATCACCGATGCAGAGAAACTGAAGCAGAAGGAGTACTTTGCTGGCCTGTACCGAAACGAAATGGTTGACATACTGCGCCAGAAGGGATGTTCGACACCCGTGTTGGCGAGAAACGCCGCCGAGCGTTCGAAAAATGGCGTAGAACGTTCCCCCAGGAATCAACAATGCACGGTGCCACTCTTCAGCGCAACGTCATGGACAAACTTTACTCTGGACCGGAGCGCCTTCTCTAATGTCTTTGACTTCTAGAGATTCTTTCAGTGTGAGTTGATTTGATATGTTGATATGGCCTGCACTGGGGGGGGGGGGGGGGGCTGCACTAGATACACCTGGAGTTACCGACAGTGTCGTGACTGAATGATCTTGCTGTCACTGCATGGTGTTACATAAATTGCAAAAGATTTTTTTTTATTTTAAGAAACAGTAATTGGGAAAAAGAGAAGTTATTTATGTGTTTTTCTCACAGTGACATCAAGCATAATCATTGTTCCTCTGTTATTGGAAACGTCAAGCATAATCATTGTTCCTCTGTTGTTGGAAACGTACTGGTGAGAACTACATTGCCAAGATGATTGCTATAGTGCGAGAACAGAATGACACATGAATCTATCGGTTTGTCTGCTAATGAAAGTTGGTAATTGAGTGCTATGTTTCTAGTATTCACTTAGCGTCATGTTCTTCGCTTACGGGTGTTGTGCAAAAGCTTGCAATTTGAAAGACTAGGCAACTTCATTCAGCGATTGTAGCTGCGATAAAAACTTTGTGTGGGCACAGTGGCCGTCACACGCCCTTGCAGTATGAGCCCAAAATATTGAGGATAGGTCTGTTTTCTTTTAAGTGGGGCACCAAACCCATTGCGGTGCTGCGCGTGTGCCACCCTGTTTGAAGCGCACAGGGCTGGCACAGCCTGCTCCACTAGGGTTGACAATATCTTTTGCAGAGTGGGGTTGTCCTTCAGGGCACGATCAGCAAATGACCTCAGTACGTCAAGGGCGAACAGCAACTGGTTCGACGGGTAAAGCAGCCCGCCTCGATCCTGGCTGTGAGTTAACTGAAAGATCGGTTGATTACTTGCAGGCTTCGAGCAGATTGCTGTGCAACTTCCGCATAGCATGTGCTCGTTTATTACACGGGCAATGTAACCGCCAACGTGTGCAGTTGCCGAAATTTCAAGGGAAGGCAGCTGCCGTGGCTTAAGTGTTGTGGAGAGTCGTTGCAAAACACATGTAGCTCTCTGTAGTTAAGGAAGCTGCTGTGTTGGTGAAGGGGAAGCTGCAGTGTGCAAAGTACCTGTGGACATTTGTGCTCATTCACTGTGAGCAAATCTGATGCCATGCTGAATGCTGCAATTCCAGTTTTTAGAACTTTCTCCAAGCCAGACAAGCAACGAAAGTGCAGCATGTCATTACAACCGTAGGACACTCGCAATGTACCAGACAGTGACTCTATCGGGCCACTGTTAAACTTGCAAATGAGAACGAACAAGAAATTTTCCTCTGTGAACAGGTACCTGATGCAGCAACTGTGGAATATGTGGTCAAAAGCAATTCTTCCTACGTTTCTTTCGTCAAAAGTTCCTTTAGATTTCCACATCTCTTTTTCAGCTTGTCCAAGTAGATAGGCAGTGTTACCTCAAGCCACTCTAGTCTGGCATCTTCGGTATCGTCAAAGTTTAGTGTGTCTAGCCATTTCTTGTGGAGGTGCTGGGTCGTGTTGCTCTTGTCATGCAGCACAAATAAAGGATAAATGTTCTGCATGAAAATGATGGTCTGGCCTGCAGCTGCAAACGAGGCACTTGAGGTGTGCCCAGCTTGGTCCCTGAGGTGCTCCAAGGTCGCAGTAACATCAAGAGAGAAATTTCTCTTGCAACATTCATTTTTTCTATGTTGTTGGGGTATACATGCTTTCAACTGAGGTAGTGGACAGGCTTCACAACCAGGTCCTGCAGATGGCAGAGCTTCTTTATGTAACAGGATAAGACCTCTCTTTTCGGGCCAAAGTCATGAGCCAAAAACAGAATCAGCATTTTTTTTTAAAACGTGGCATGGATCAAAACTTAAAAACAGGAGCCTGTCACAGTCGCAGGGATGTTCTACCCTGTATGTAAGATGACTATCTCCCAGCAGTTTCATAGCATTGGCATTCACTTTGTGGTGGTCACTCACTAAACGAATCACCCTGAAACCACAGACCTCTACTTTCTCAAGCACAAAAATCAACAATTCGTCAAGCTGTGGGCCTGTTAACCCCTTGGTAAAATATTAGGCTACTGGTATGCCATACGTAGTCGAGAGCCCAGTGATTATGAAGCACAGAAGAGAGTTCACTAAGGTGAGGTCACCACCCTGTTGTTCCAAGGAGACATCTGCATGCCCCACAAAGCAGTCCTGCTGTTTATTGTACTGCATGCAGCTTTTCCTTTATCTTCATTTCATCAACGATACAGTCGGGCTCTCGGCTTCCACTTTAAAGCGAACTTTAGCGAGCTTGCAGAAGTTGTCTCTCCGCTTGTACTTCCTATGTAGTTACTCAGCATCTTTCTGTAACGAAGCTTCAAAAGCATTTCCCCACGAATGTGTTCATATGCTCTTGCCTACAGATGCCATAAAACTACATGTCAAGTTGTTTCCTCAGACCAACTTGGCCTCTTCTTCCTGAAGTTCTGAATTTGATCAATGAAGCACAGAGCTGCAGGCTCCTTTTCTTCCGACCTTTTCTTGATATAAGAAATATCCGCCACCATAGAATTTTAGTGTGGCTTTTTCAATTCAGTCTTATACTTGTCAACGGTCTGCGACAGTCGAAGCAACTGGCTCCTTTTTTCTTTTTTTTTCCACTTCGATCTCTCTGTAACAAGCAGACTTGAGGTGGAACTGCTGTTTACTTAGCCGTCTTGATCGCTCGAGTTGGCTGTCGTTGATGTGTCCATGGAGCAGCAATCAAACATATCCTCCCCCAACGAAGTAGACGCTGCTGCTAGCAGCAGTCGTTGTATCGCTGTGAGACTCGTGGAGCCAATTCGCGCAATTGTAGCGCTCACTCTTTTGCCGATGTTTGCTGTATCCCACGCCAGTGTTGACTTTGGCTGAAGATACGGCAGATACTCCTAAAAAACTGACGACACAGCACCTTCCTTTAGGCGTAGATGTTTGCCTTCTATGAAGTCATCTTCTTCGAAATGCTTACTGCATATTTGGGTGTAGCATGAGGTGGTATTTCGCAACCACTTGTTACGTCGTATTGCGGAAAGCCATCGTGCATCCGCGTCAGCGGGTTTCTCGTAAAAAGAAATCCCTGCTGTTTTCTTTTTTTCGTCGGATTTACATAAAAGCACACAACAGTAAGTTACCGTAAGGCATGCTAATAAGTTGTTGGCAACTGTCTCGCAATGTGAAGATAAACACTGAACACGCCTGATCTGAACAGCAGCTCGCGACCAATGTGGATGAACTGAGACGGAATGACAGCAGTGGGGTTGCCGAGGCAGTCGAGACCCTGTTTGCCCAGCGCCCCTGGCGGTGGCGGCGAGAACAAGCGTCCGTGAGCCGCTCTACGTGATGTGCGCGGCACAACTTTTATAAAGAAGGCACTGGTTCAGGCATGGCCTACTTAAGGTGGTTGATGGTATTTCTCTGTGTTGAACTGCCAGAGTTATATGTAAGTGTTGCATTTATCAACGAGAACATTCTGTCTTGTTATGCAACGCTGTGCCGTGCCGTGCAAAGTAAGGTTTTCTTTGAAGGTGCCGACAACTGCCCAGAACATGAAATGAGATGACTGCACAAATGGAAAGATTGTATCTCATAGTGACTCAAACCAACCCTATGTTTCTCATGAGAAGTAGAAAAGTTTTATTTCTTCATTGAAAATCGCTAAAATAGCCTGTAGCGCCACTTGGTGGCAGAAACTCCAAAAATATCTGAGCTGCCCTGTCACGTGATCGTAAACTAGTGTACGCGGTAGACAATTTTCCAGTTAGTATTGAAATATTGTTTGCTTCTTTATAGTAAAAAAATATTACTCCATAAAACTGTACTTATAGGCCTTTGTTAGTAGTGCGATAAAGTGGTGCTATCTTCGCATGACGTTATGATCCCGTGCTCATCAGCGCGTCTTGAGCAACTTTTCCACGTGGTCATGAAACCGTGCATGTAGTTTCCATGTTGCTAAGATGTTGGAGTGACGTGGTTTTTTTCAGTAGTAGTAGTAGTACAAAACTTTATGATATACATAATCCAGACAGGCTTGAACTCCAGTGCCCGAGGAATATACGGGGTGTAGAGCGAAGTCTGTCCGGCAGGTTGGTGCCCCTATTCCAGGGCCCCACTGGCGCGAGCCATCCGTTCAGCTCTGTGGATCAGTCGCAGCTGATCCACTAGGGCTGGGCTAGACAGCAGCGCCTCCCATTCCTCCCACGTGCCAGTGGTGTCGTGTTCTTCATCGTGCTCTGCACACTCCCACGTGATGTGAGTGAGTGAGAACAACTTTATTATGGTCCAGTGCAGACGCTGAGGTTGCCACGCGTCACCCGGCTACTCCCACGTGGGGACCGGCAGGTCTAGCCTGACGGCCCTGTCGCGGGCACACTGGACGGCCAGGATTTGGTTCTGAAGTTTTGGGATGTACAGAAGCGCATCCCACTCGGGTTTGCTATAAGTCGGCCTAAGCGACCCGCACTCCCAGAGCATGTGTGCTAACGTAGCGGTCTGCCCGCAAGCGGCGCAGGCGGCATCGGGGAATTTGTGAGGATAAATTGCATTTAGGTATGCTAACGACAGGTACGAATGGGTTTGAAGTAAGCGCAACGAGACGGCCTGTGCTCTATTGAGTTTTGAATGTGGCATTGGGAATGCCCGCCTCGCCGTGTAGTAATACTTGGTAAACTCGTTGTGTGTAGTAGGTGTGTCTTTATGTCCCACGTCGTCGACAGTGGAGCCGTCGCCCAGGTCGAGAGCTGCGCGGTCAGTCAGTGCGCGCGCTGCTGTGTGGGCCGACTCGTTCAGGTTCAGTGCAACGCCGTTTACGGAGCCGACATGCGCGGGGAACCGATGTATGGTGTGAGGGACAATCGTATCGCTGGTGGAGCTGTTCAAGATCCTGGCTGCCTGTGTTGATATGCGGCCCTTCTGAAAGGCTCTGACTGCGGATTTGGAGTCGCTGTACACCTCTTCGTGCCGACCATTTAGCAGAGCGAGTGCGATGGCCACTTGTTCGGCCACCTGGGGATTCGTTGTGCGTACCGTGGCGCAGTTCGTAGTCGAGCCCGTCTGGTCCACGACCACCGCTGCGAACTTTTTGCCGTCTCGATATGCTGCAGCGTCAATGAAACTTGCATTTACGCCACCTTTTCCCAGTTGCATCAGTAGAGCCGTCGCCCTTGCCTGACGACGTCCCTCATTGTGTACAGGGTGAGTGTTGCGGGGTATTGGGGCAACAATGACGTTTTCCTGTATATGTTTTGATATAATGCACGTTATTTGTTTCCAGCTCCATTGGGTTAAAACCTAGCTCACCAAGTATGCGCCGACCAGCCATCGTAGTGGACAAGCGAGCCAGCTGCGAGCGTTGCTGCGCTTCGGCTGTCTCGGCAGTAGAGTTGTGCACACCGAGCGCGAGCATGTTCTCGGTGTGTGTGCGTACGGGAAGCCCCAGTGCTTTCTTGACGGTCTTTCTGATAATCGCGTCCAGCTTGTCCCACTCCGACCTAAGCCAGTTGTGCATGGCAACGGTGTAGGTAAAGTGGCAGAGCACAAACGCATTGATGAGCCTTAACAAATTGTCTTCTTTAAGGCCTCTATGTCTCCCGGAGACTCTTTTGACGACTGGAAAGGCGTTGTCAGTCTTGGCGACAATCTTCCGCAGAGCAGTATCGTTGCCACCCTTTGCTTCAATAAACATGCCGAGGATCCGGATGGTGTCTACCCTCGAGATTTCCTCGCCGTCACTCGTGTAAATGTGTATATCGCTTTCTTCGGCGGGTTTCCATTCCTTAGGTCGGCCACCTCATTCTTTTCTATAGAGCAGGAGCTCCGACTTGGTGGGTGAGCATCTGAGTCCCGTTTGGCGCAAGTACGATTCCACCTCGGCGACTGCTTCTTGGAGGGCATCTTGCACTTGGCCTTCGCTGCCGCCAACGCACCAGATTGTGATGTCGTCGGCCTAGATGGTATGCTTGATGCCGTCCACGCTAGCCAGTCTTTTCGACAGTCCGATCATGCAGAGATTGAACAGCACCGGAGAAATCACGGATCCTGGGTTGTGCCTCGATGTCCGAGTGGTAGGTCATCAGAGAAGAAGTTCCCGATGCGCAGCCTCGCTTTTCTTCCAGACAAAAAGGACTTGATGTAGTTGTACAGCCTGGGCCCAAGCTCGAGTTTCGCCACAGTCTCCAAGATGAATTTGTGCTTGATGTTGTCAAAGGCCTTTTCTAGGTCTAGGCCAAGAAGAGCCTTTGTATCTCTAGAGTATCCATCAAGGATTTGGTGCTTAATGAGCAGCATTGCATCCTGCGTTGAAAGGCCGGTACGAAACCCAATCATATTGTGCGTATAAATCTCATTTTCCTCCAGGTAGTCGTTAAGTCTGTTGAGAATTGCGTGCTCTGCCACCTTGCCCACACACGACGTGAGGGAAATGGGGCGAAGATTCTCAACGCTAGGAGACTTTCCTGGCTTGGGAATCAGTACGGTGTCAGCTAGCTTCCATTCCTCAGGAACCCTTCCCGTTTATTTTTATTTATAATTTATTTTATTTATAAATACTGCAATCCCTGATAGGGATTTTAGCAGGTGGGTTACAGTGCATAAAAAGGATACATGGTTTACAACAACTGTACAATTCAACACAGATGAAATGGCTCTTCTTCTCGGGTACAAAAAGTTGTTACAAATAATACACACAAAACAACAACAACAGAGGATTGGTATACAATGCTAATTAAGGTGGGACTCAAACAAACTTAAAGAAGGCTGTAGAACTTGTGAATTCTGAAGTTTATTCCAATCGGAAATAGTTCTGGGAAAGAAGAAATA